TAAAACAAATCCTTGTGGGTGTGTCGAAGACTGTGTAAAACGCTTAAACTGAATTAATTTAGAAATAACGTTTTTGTGAAAACTCGAACGCTTTGTAGCGTGCACACGCTCAGTGTTTACTGTACACATCTACACAGTTTTAATAAACCGCAGCGAATAATTTAAGCAACAAGCAAAGATTTTGCTTGTGATTTTTGCTCTGTCGCAACTTCGAAAGCTGATCTTTGATAGACTCCAGCTATTAAAGACTTTTTTAGTGCAAAGACGTGATTTAATAATAATTTTATTAATGAATACATTTAAGCAAAGTATCTGCTTCCTTCTTATCATCCTGCCGCTAAAGACTATATTAAATTCATCAGAGAGATAAATATTTTTTAAGGTAATGTACAGCGTACATAATAACTTTTCTTTATCCGGCCTATAACTGCTTATAGTAGTAGTTATATCTCTTTGGCCGGAATCAATCAAATTTTTTTGCCATCGATTTGTTTGAGATAGCCGTGTATATAATCTTGAGGAAGCACTTGTTGCTTATAAGTGATATTTTTTTGAAAATCAAGATATTGAAATAAAGTTTTTATCAGATTCTGAACGCCTATCTTATATGCAAACGAGTTAAACTATGGAGCGTAGTGTCTGCGTTACCTTAATCGGACGAAATTGTGATTAGTCATTGGGAAATTATAAGAAAACATCGATTTTACTCTTCCCTCAGTTAATTCCCAGTAATATAAAACCTATTAGATTCTGTTAGCACTTAGTTTTTTTTTACTACGGCAGAAAAGAATTCAATATATTCAATGCAAACATGAGAAATACTTATATGCGAGAAACAATTCATTTACACGAACATTTGAAAGCAATTCCTTAAGATACTTAAATTGGTTATTGGAATATTTTATGCGACATACAAATGCTTTTCATGTTTTACAAGATATTTAGTACAACTATGTGTTTATTCGCAAAGTAAAAAGCGTTTGATTTTTCTGTGTATCCGGTGATTCATGTCCACATATTAGGTGGGTAAATAAGTTTTAATGGATTTTTTCGTGAAATTCAAAGAGATTATAAAAAAAATTTTATTCAATATTTTAATGCATGATTAGTTACTGTTTGCCCTACTTTCTAGGGAACTATGAATGTGAGAGAACCAGCTTATGAGTATTGTCATAATAAACGAAGCATTGCATTGCATGTGTTCATTAGCAATAGCAATGCCAGAAATTCATCTTACAATGTCTATTCGCTTGCAGTCGCTGCTATCAATTTCACGATCAGCTTAATTGCATCCATTGTCGGTAATAGCTCTACTATGTTAGATGAGTTGAACCTGCAACTGGAACAGAATTAGGTACTTGCTTGCATTGTTTAATGGCTAGCCTGAAGTACGCCATGATTTTTTATTCTTCGAACTATTCGAGCGTGTCTAATTTTCATCATCTATCGTGATTCAACAGCACTTTCCTTTAAAATATATTTATATATATATTTACTTTACTTCTCAGCGAGATAGGCACAGAGTTTCAACAGGATTATTTAATGCGATATAGTATTATTTAGAGCGCCTTTTAACGATGACTCTCTCCCCTGCATTTTTCATTTAACTTCAATTTTTATTGCCACTAAACATACAAAGAAATCAAGTGTTATTTCAATATTGTCAGGCGAGAAACAGCGAACACCGTGACATCATGGAAATATGTTCGTTTACGTTTGAAACATTGTTGCTGTTTTATTTTGTGCACGCGGTGGAGTTACGACCTCTTTTTTATTTCCCTTTGTATCTGTTATATAGGCGCACTTACTATATTTTTATTTCAATATTCCGTATATGGACGAATGGCCATCAGTAGATCAATTCAAAATGTTTTACTCTGCGAGTTTATAAATATTTTTCGATAGAAATCTATGTAAAAATAGTAAACGTTACATTAAAATAAATAAATAAAATAAACAAATATTAAGTATATAAAATTAATCCAAAATAATTATTCGATGGGGTTATCAATAACGTATGCATTAGTCAAGTGACTACATTAATTTAAAATAAAAATAAAAATTCTTAAAATTTTTTAATTCCTGTAAAGCTACTATACAGAAGCAAGACTTCCTCATAAACGGCATAGATTGACGTCAATGTATTAATTTATAATATTACTGCGTGAAAATATCTCCGAATGTAAAACAATGAACTGAATGCTTAATTAAGAGCTATAATTTCAAAAAATTAACATTTTATATGAAATTTATATGGACACCACACGTCAATCATTAAAATATGAAGTTTAACATAGTTTTTAAAAATCGCAACTCTTCTCTAAATAGGCCGAAATTCTTGGTTTTGCTTTTCATATCAGTGACTTTCAGTTCTTACCTTCGCTATGGTATAAAGAAAAAAATGTGGATTGCTATTATTGTGCTATATCACATCACTCAATAAGTTCGCGGTCTAAATGGACTGTTTTTTTTTTACAACAACGATATGCAAACGCACCAACAACGTTATGTAATATTCACTTTTGATCGTTTAACATTTTCCAAGATAGGCTACTACCACCCGACTTTTGCGTTTTGATCGCTTTGAAGGACAGCATAATAAATATCTTATAAAAAATTCCAGGGCACAAAGCCTTACTTTATTAATTCATCCGTAGATATCACCTTTCACTGTGTTACACAATGCTTTTGCTTTTTGAATGTTCCCTACAATTTTTACAATTACATCATCGAATTTTCATTATTGTTCTGCAAGAACTATAGAGTGTAAATGTAGACTGTCTTCGACTCGAACCTTCTTAATCTATGGGATCCTTCTCAAACTTTCAGAAATATCTTTCGAATTTATTCAACCCACTGTTGAAAGATGGGTGTCTACTACTTATGTGCTTTGCAACACCATGATATAATCAAAGGACTAATATCTGTGCTTTTCATAAACATTAACTTCTGAGTCAACCAGTCCTTCCCAACAATCTAGGTATCTCAAAAATTAATACAAACGATATTTAACATACATATTCTTTGTTGACGTCCACTCCGCTCGCAATCACGGCCACCAAAGATCTCTAGCTTTCAAACTAAAGCAGATGCTGCCCTAAGCTCGCTACAAAATTCTGAAAGGAGAATACAAACCTTAATTGCAAAATAGTAGCAGTATCCCCCACGACAAAATGGCTATAAAACGAAAAATATGGCTATAAAAGTTAATAAAGTTTGCAAGGCCTATTAGAAAGCAATCAACTGCAACATGCCCAGGCTTGAAAAATATGTTCCCATCTCAATGCGCTCGTTTAAATAGTCTTATTAAAGCGAATGCAATTTCTTATTCGTTGTCGTTATTAATACGAGAACTAAGTATTAATTATTATCATTACTGTTATTATTATTATTATTATTATTATTATTAGTAAAATCATTAAAAACAAATTTCAAATGTATTAATAATAGGGATAAAAAAAGTAAAACTAATTTTATATACATAATATAAATTAAATTCAAAGTGTTGTTTCTATTCCCGTATGGGGTTAGTCAAATTTAATTTGTCTCACTTAAAAAACGTAAAAATGTTATGTTCACTTCTTGACGAACCACAAAAGTTGGGAAATGTTTTATTTATTCTCAATGAGTCAGATTTGTTATTGACGTTTTAGTAGAAAAAATGGAAGAAAACATTTTAATTTAACAAGCATTTTCAATGTCTCCTATAGGTCATAACTAAAGTATTTTGCCTATTATGGACTTCTTTTTGCGGAGACCATGCCGTTTCTTGACCTATAGATTTACAAGGTCATCATAAATGTTCTCTTCATACATATTTGTCAACACTTCTTTCCAATTCAAATATTTCTTATTTTGAGCAATAAACTTTTTATTATTTTTCTGCTCTAACCGATTCTTGTCTTTCTAACGCCCTACAATGTGACAAGAGAGAGCAAAAACCTTTTAAAATCACCTAAGAACTGCTGTTGTGGACCTTTGGAATGCTATTTGCAAACGTTGCTTTGCACTATGTCGGGTTTGTTTTCTAGTTTACAATCTTCCAACAATACAGGGCGACATACGACATACCCATGGATGCACTAACAAGATTAAATAGACACTGAATCTCATGCTAAGCGTTATACGCTAACTAAATTTGATTACTCATCATCGGATCTTACGCCTATTTCCTAATGTTATAAAACCCAAGAATGAACTGTTCTATTCGCGTTCTTAAGTGGTGAGTGTAAAAATGACTGGTTTTTTTGACCTCAAACATATCATTTGAAGATTTGTAATGACATCATCAAAATTCATTACTTTGTTTATTCCATAACAATAAGTTGATCCACGGTTTTAATTAACCCAAGTGGTTTTCTTCGTTTCATACACAATTTAGTTTGTTAGTTTTTACAATTCATTCATAGAATTTCAAAAGAATTGAAATAATCTTTAATAAGCTCTTCGTTTTACTCACATACGCAGTTGTTGGAATTTACAAAATTCTAAAACCATTCATTATTCTGAGTAAAAGCCAAGTTTTTTTTTTTGATTTTTTTCAAATATGACAAAGTAACCAATAAGTATTTATTGCTACCAACCCCAAACGAACGATGACATGACCGATTTTTAAATACCCTAGAAAATTCTGTCTAATACAATTCTTCCTTTGTTTTTGGGGTAAAATGCCAAAAATTATATTCATATTTATTTCTGTGTAAGCACATACTTTTCATGGCAACTTTTATATGGGAGAGGGCCCAAAACAGTTACCTAATATAACGTGAAACACATTGGTCCGAAAATATAACTCTACACCGTTTGCGGGGCAAGGTACATAAAGCACCGTTTGCAGATATATGCAACGCCCGGAGCGACTCTTCTTCTATCCAGCCGTTCGCCTACTTCTTTCCTTGCGATTCTTACGACTACTAAATGATTAATTTTTGTTTTCTCATAATTATTTGAAAGTTGAACTTCTTTGATTTAATTTTTTCTTTTTCTCTATCTCATTTTAGGAACACAAAGGTCGCGGAACAAGCGAAGATTTCGCATATAACCCGAATCAATCTGAATCTGAAATACCGAATCGCATGTCTCTATTGAAATTTCTCGCAATTGTAAGTTCCTGAAACCTATTTTAAGCTTTCTAATGCAAAAATGGAGATTTAATTCCCAACAGACTTTCTCCTAACTCCAAGACAAATGAACGAACGAACTGGACAGAAAATAATATGTAAGACTGAAGTAGCCAATTCAGCTATTCGCACTTATCGTGAATATTTTTACCTTAGAAGGGCTTGCCATCCTTTCTAGTAGCATAGATCAATTGTGCTCGCATACTATTCGTATATCAATAGACCTGTGATACGTTAATGTTCGTTTGCATTTTTCGAAACAGTGAGTAAATAGAAGTTGAACGGTAAGAAAACAATACATGGCATATAACAAATCTTATTTTCTTGTTACAATTAAAAGATAATTAGGAAATAAACGCCCCATTGGGTTCTATTTGAAGAGATTACGTAAAGTGGATTACAATTCAAACTGTAACGACTTTATTGAAAAGATAAGCAAATTCCATTTTGTTTTTCCGTTTTGTGATTTACTTCTCTGTCCTTTTATTGCTCGTCGAGATAGACTTTGTTTCAAACTTGGATAAATAAAATGTTTTTCATTATTTTTAATTTTTGCTGACATGACTAATTTTTATAACATGACCTATATGCCAACGTTCCTCCTCCTATTTCTTTCTTTGTTACTCCCACCCCGTCTGCCCGTCTGTTTAATGACTGTAGTAAACTTTCTCATGGTCGCAAAAATGGAATTATCAGCTTCAAATTTGGAAGAGGGCCAAACAAAGAACGGAACATTTCTTAAAAACAAAAAAATTGTTTTTATTCTTATTACTCACGAACAACGTAAAAATTTTCATCCCTGTACTATAATATGTACGCATAAATGGAAAAACTCAGCCACGACGACCCAATATCATAGTGCATCACAATTGCATGTTTTTCTAACATTCTTTGGAACGTCCATAAGGAAGCTTCGGAATCCACCTAAGCATATATATCTGTTCGTTTGTCGCTTTTTCCGTCTTCTCGACTACCTAATATTTACAGCAAACATTCTTCCATCCGCACAAATAAAGATATCGAAATCAGTCAAGCAACTCGCCTGCAGTTCAACAAAAACTAAAAATAGCCTGCCATATCTTTAGTGAACACCTTCCTGGCGCCGAAAATTAAGCTATCAAACGTGGAAGGAACATTGGATATTCTTTCATGCAGGGCACATCTGGTTTTTTGTTCTTTACTCACAAACTATAATTAGCAAACCTATCGAAATTTCCATTTATATTCTAGGAGCGACACTGTCAATCGGCCAAGCCCACCCAACATTATCATGCATTCAAATTTCGTATTTTTATCAACCCTTTATAACATCCAGAAGGAACTTTTAGAGACGCCACCACTTAAGCATGCCCATCTGTCTTAACCGTATATTTGCCCGTTTGTCTAAAATCTGTGGTAAATATAGTTCCATTTGCAAAAATTAAAATATCGCCTTCAGATTTAGCGAAAGCCAAAATTCGGGCGGATATGTTTGTATTGGAAATCGACGGAACAGATCAAAGGACGGACCTTCCGTCCAACATAAGTTGCGAACACCTCTGCTTTCGTTCTTTGCAGACGATAATATGACGAAAAATGCAAACGCAATTTGAAATAAAAAAAATGTTATGGGATTTTAACTTCTTTTATTTTATTAAATTATTTTATTTAATTAATATCAGAATTATCACAGATAAAGTCTTGCATTTTGTTTACAAAACTTTTAGTAAATATTAGTATTTACCCTTATGACAAAACGAATGCTATTTATATGACCATGACTTTATTTTAGAGTTGCAAGGAGAAGCATTCAAAGCTGTCAAGTTATTTTAGACGATATATTTAATAATTTAATTTTATTTACTTTTATTTCAATATATCGCTAGAACGCCTTAGAACTAAGTGCGCCTGCCACTCCCATTCTTTTGCAACAACAGCAGGGGCAGCAAACGCAAAAGCAACCGCAAGACAAACAAAATCACCCAAATGGTTGGCTCCAGCTTTCAGGTCATCCGGAAAGGTAACATCCACGCATTTTTTACTTACGTGATTCGTTAAAATTAATTTTTCGCTTTTTAACTTTAAAGCATTGTTCCCACGTGCAGTGGTGTAGTACGCAAACGTGTAAACACTTTCAACGACTACGAAGTTTTAGCGTATCGACATATTTCTTTGGAACCGGAAACCGCAACAATTGTGCCACGATTCTTCGGTTCTGTGCAACTTGATACGGGGGATCGTTTTATTGAATTGCAAGATTTACTTAATGGGTTTAAAGATCCGTGCGTAATAGACATCAAAATGGGTTGTCGTACATTCTTGGAGTCCGAAGTCAGTAACAAAACACTCAGACCTGATTTATATCAGAAAATGTTGAGTGTGGATAGAAATGCGCCCACTGCAGAGGAGCATGAAGCCCAAGCCATTACAAAACTGCGTTATATGTTATTTCGTGAAGCTATGTCTTCTTCACAGACAAAAGGTTTTCGCATAGAGGCGCTGCGTTTACGTGGAAAAAAACCTATCAACGATCTGAAAACGGTTCGATCATCTGAGCAAATTTTTCAGACAATTGAACAATTTATCGGGTCGCAAAAAGGCGTGCAGAAAGAGATTATCAAACGTTTAAAGCACATGCGATCCGTCATTGAACGTTCATCGTTCTTTCAAATGCACGAAATTATTGGCTCCAGTATATTTATTGTTTACGATCATAGTCGCGTGGGCTGTTGGTTAATTGATTTTGTCAAATCGAGACCATTGCCGATGAACGTTAAAGTAAATCATCGCTCAGAATGGTTGCCGGGCAATCATGAAGAGGGTCTTCTAAGGGGATTGGATAATTTAATTACGGCATTCGAAGAAGTTTACAATAGAAGTAAAGATTTTACACGAAAATGCTTACAAATCTAATTGCGTGTGAGATTTCACGAAATACTAGACATCTTCAATTATCTTTGTGTATAGAAGACTGATCGCATCATTTTTCTCTTCTACATTCATTTCTATGCATATGTATATATATATATAAAAAATTTTCCATATTGGAAATTGTACATGTCTGTTTAGTCAATTTTTAAAAAATATTCTAAACAACACATTAGCAGTTTGTTTAAATTTGCATAGAACACTTTCGCAAATGAACACACAATTGCGTTTAATTTTAAATAATATTATTATACTGCGGTATTTTTTTATTATTCTTTTATATTAACTCATAGCAAAAAATTTCAGGTCCATTTCTTATAAAAAAAAAAAAATAGTTTTTAAAGAATGAAAAAAAACAATATTTTTAATTTAGCAAAATTTTTCTAATTAGCAAAAGTACCAGAAAAAGCAAAACTGTTTACTTTTTCATTAATCAGTATATCATAGCATTTATCTAATAATTATCTAAACGATATTATATTAATGTTAAAACAGGAAATTTATATGACGTCAAAAAAATAAAAAATATCTTAAGTATTAAATTATATATAAAAAAAACTTCTCTTTTATTCCTTGCTGTAATAATTTCAATTCCCGTGTATGCAACTTTTCCGTAGACCATTACAACTCGTTAAGTGCCTACACGAATTGATTGATGCAAAATCACTCTCATTTACAGGATTTCTGAAATAAAACATTTTAATAGTAACCATGCGAAGGGAAAGAAAAAAAATTAACATAAGAAACACATAAACATTTGTATCATATTTTTTTATGCAAAGCCATTAAGAAAAGGAAACGTTTCCTTGAACTTCTACTGTGAGCTATATATATTAGCCTAGAACAAATAAATGTTGAATCTTATGAAAGGTGTAAAGTTTTTTTTTATTATTTGTATTATCTTATTATCTAGTAAAACACATATACAAATACATAGATGAAAACAGAAATAAAAATTGAAAAACATTAAATGATATAAAAATCGCAAGCGAAACGTTATATATATACATAATAATGTATAAGAAAAGAAAAAGAACTAAGTATAGTTCCACATATACTCTGTTGTTGTTGTTAGTATTAAGAGAGAGAAATGAGATTTGATTTGACATATGTACTCAACATAAATAAAACGCAGCAGCAAATGGAATCATTGCTAGAGAATCAACAAGAAGAGGAAAAATAAACAAAAAATCTTCAAATTAAAAAAAAAAATTAACAAATAAACAAAAAAAAAACGAAAAGAGAACAAATGCCCCAACAACGCGAAATAAATGATGTTATTGTAAGTGATGTGATTGGAAATAATAACTTTATGAAAAATAATTCTCACTTTCGTTCAGTCAGTTATTATAACGATATTGAATGGTTCCAAATGGATTACAAATTGTATGCAATCGATTTTACAACAAACAGCTGTGAAGAAAACTAACAAAGCTCAAGATGCAACAACGACTAATATCTCAAATAGAACCAATAGAACCACATCGCTAATCCATTTAAATAAAGAGAAGAAAACGCAAAAAAATTTGGCCGAAGTTTTCGTAGAAGTTTGTGTATTTGATGATTGCAGCAGCGATTGCACCTTTCAGATGTTATGCGAATGGGAAAAAAAGTTGAAAGAGTATGATAACGTAGACATGCGGATTGTAACAAATATGACCGGTTCTAGTAAGGGGGGTAAGTTTAACAATAAATAATAGCTTGCCTCTCCTGCTTCCCCTCAACATTAAAATAACATTCTCAGTGGGTTATGGGCGAAATAAAGCAATAGCCGCATCCACCGGTAGTTACTTATGTTTTCAAGATGTCGATGACGAAATGCTGCCGGGACGTTTATTGAAACAATATCAGTTAGCCAAGCAATATAAGAACGCGGTAAACAAGTGCAAAGCATTTAAATATCATTATCAGAAACTCATCAGTTTTCATATTTGCTTAACAGATAATAGGCTCAAAATTCGTTCGTATACCTAGTAATGCCACCTGTCGGTTTACTAAATGGGCGAACGATTTATCGGAAGAGAAATTTAATCTACAAATTTTCACGTCAAATGGTCCGACCATTATAATGCCAACATGGATGTGTCACCGCCAAGTTTATGATTGTATACAAGGGGGATTTTGTGAAGATGGCTCGGGATGTCCAGAGGACTTGTTATTCTTTTATAAGCATATTAAGCAAAAAAACGGTCAAATTAAACGTGTCAATGAATGTCTGGTCAAATATCGCTATCACACAGAGTCTACCACTTTTAGTGTTCACGCAGCCACTATTTGGAATATACGATTGAAATACTTAATAGAAAATCAGTTGCAAAACATTCCTTGGAAAGATGGTTTTACTATATGGAATGCTGGTAAGCAGGGTAGGCGGTTTTTCCGAGACTTACCAAGTTTAGAGAAATTTAAAGTAAAAGCTTTTTGCGATGTTGATAAAAGTATGTTTCACTTATTTTTCATAAAGAAATATTTATTGAATTTATGCTTCTTTTCTCCTTATCCTCTCCAGATAAAATTAAGAAGAATTATCATTACTATGATATGGAAAAACGTCAGTTTACATTTTCGATACCAATTATACACTTTACGCAAGTGAAACCACCTTTGATAATATGCATGAAACTGGATTTAACAAACGGCGATTTTGAACGTAATTTAAAAAGTTTACAACTAATTGAAGGCCAAGATTACATATTGTTTACGTAAAAAGTTATACCGGATAACGGATAAGTCAGCAACAACGTCTTCCATGGCTTAGTGGAATTTGTTGTAACGGTTCGTTTGTCGGAGATGGTTTAAATTGCCTTAAGGAATAGTATTTCCCCCGATATAAAATGTATAAAATGTGATACCAGTTCGTAGCGAATGCTTGTTTCGCTTGTGATTGCTTGTGATTTATTATTACCATTGTCTTCATATGTTTAATGTATTCGGATCAATTCTTAGAATAAAAAGTAAATTTGTTGGGATATTTTCAAGACAAAACAACTAAGAACATTATAATCGGACCGACCGTCAGATACCCTACAACACTTTCCTTAGTGCAATCATCATTCGTTCATGAAATACCGCACGATGGGAGTGCTCGAAACATGACCTGCGATCCAAATTTTGTAAACTTAATTTACTTCCTAAAAATGCTATTATTTTTCGGTTTCCTTCATTAGAAACTAAAAATTGGACTTTCTCTTCATATAAGAATTTGCTTTCGATGATAACTCTGACAATTCTGAAGGGTTTACTATTCTTGAGAAATCTTATATAGAGTGAACTTGAAGAAATAGACTCACGTGGTTTAAATTTGGTTCATTCAATTTTTATGTTAAACCACTCTCATTTCGCTTTTCATCATAAAATATTGATAAATAGGCTTTTTTGCCACATAAACGTTTACGTTTCCTGAGAATCCTTATACTCTTTGGTATCCAAAAAATAGACCTACGTGGTCCAAATTTGGTAAGGTTCATTTCTTTGCTAATTTACTATTACGAAGCAATTTTCGCCATGAAATATTGAAAATAAAACGATTTTACCATATGAACATACAGTTTTCATATGAACAGTTATACAACCGCAGGTTTTCAAGAAATTGTCCCAGCTGATCCAAAGTTTTCACACAAAACTAGGGTTAGGGTTAACGACACTAAATGACAAATATGCGGCGTTCGAAAAATTTCTATAAGGGAAATATCTTCTAATCTGAGCATATTTAACTTTCCACAGTTATATCTCCATTGATGATATAACGCTTTGCACTCTTCTTTTTTTTCCTCATACTACTTAATTAACACGTAGGAGTTGAAGCAAGATTACAATGTCGACAAACAAAATCCATCTCTCGTAATAAATTTTAACGAAATAAGAAGACGATGTGGAACATGAATCTCAAAAAGCGGCTTTATTAGACTTTTTGGCATATATACATTATAAGTTTTTCAGGCTTTGGTTTAAAGAACTTTTTTCTAACTTTTATTTAGAGCCTAAAGTTTTCAACATATTTATTCGTTCATCTCTCATTCGTTAATTAAACTTTTGGTTTTCATGTTAGACTAAACTAACAAAACAAAATGTTAGTGAGTAGACAACATATTGTTAAAAAAAAGAATGGTTTGCATATTGAGAAATGGATATATAAAAATGGAATCGATAGAAATTTCGCAATTAAACTTTGAGCGACATCAATCTACTGTACGGAATATAGTATAAATGGAATGCAAATTCGAGCTTACTTTTTTCTTCTTCTTCTTTTTGTGAATTTCTTTACTTCGATAGATTAAGGTAGTTTTTTAAGAGAAAGGGACAAGGTTTACGGAGTGGTGTAAAAGTTTAAGATAAATGCTTGATGACTTAACGGAAATGCCTGATATTTTAACAGAAAATTCGCGACATATGATTTCAAATGAATAATGTTATTTTCTTCTTCTTCAACTCATGACAAAATCATGGTATTTTCGACACTTGGTTGTCATTTGTAAAAAAAACCTGCTAACTGTTTCTTCCACGACAAAGAACGAATGGTAAGTGGTTAAGGTTTGAAGAAGAATAATTACACATTAATATTTAAAAATTCTCTTTGCCTTAAGCGTTATTACCATGCACCTGCATATATATAAACATATTCTTTACGTTTTGCCGAACATAAATTCTTAACATTTCCAAAGATTTATGATTCTTTGGTACATACATTGAGGTAACAGCTGGGCCACTTTCTTCTTGTAATAGACGCTACCTGATTTCGAAAAATTCTTTTCGATTCTAATTTTCTAATTTTATTCTACCTATCGCGACTCTTTCGTCTTCGTCAAATCATAAAAATGCTATTTCAATATCGCCGTCATTTGGAAGATCTACAATATTCGCGTTCCCTCCTTCAATTACGCTACCATACACGCGTTACCGTCTGCAATGAGCTGCTTCGTTATTGCTCGCATCACACACAGCAGTCCGAGTTCTTCGGCCAACCACCGGAACATTCATAGTAATATGCGAACAAACTGCATGATGAATTTTTTCACTAAGCTCCGCTGCCATCTACTGCCATGCTTCTTCTTTACCTTTTTTTGTTCAGTGCTGTCTTGCTCCACAAGATGGATTATTTTTTTTTAATTTCTGTGAACGTTATATCTGGTATGTGCTGGCAGATACTTACTTATGTATACTTATATGCTTATTATAATAAACATGTATTATAATAATAATATTTATAAGGTAATAGTAATAATCAAATATATGATAAGAAAATAATAATAATAGAATAAAATAATAACCTGAAAAGAAACATGAAAAATGTAATAAACCAATTCTCAACTTAGAGTAAAATTTAAAACAAAAATTAATTTTCAATAACGAAAACGAACAAACATAAAAAAGTTGGTTTAAAAGGAAAATGCTTTGATAAAAAAAAGCCCGATTCACAAAAACACGGAAAAAACGTTGCAGTCGCTGATGGACGAATTTTCAATTTGAAGTACAATGTCGCAACAAAAATCTGCTTGATAGAAATACATAACAATTCATAGAAACAAAAAAAAGTCATACATGATATAATATAACAGAAATGAAACAGAGTTTAATTTTGTTTATTAAATTTTAATTTATTTATTTTTATAATTTTAGATTTTTATACGGTTTTAAATTACTAATTACAATTATACACTAAATGGCATTATCAAGATGGTGCCACGCTCTTACAGTTTATTGTGCCTAAGTAGGGATCACTAGCCAATAAAGTGTTTTATTAATTTAATCAATTTAATTTTGATTTTTTTTTTTACTTTCAAAATACTTGCTTAACACACAATAAACCGTTTTGAGAGCTTTCATCAATATCTAGAAAAAGGTTCTGCTTTAAAAGAAACACTTTAGAACTAGCGTCAATTTCTAAAGGTTCCCTTTAAAGCCAACGAAAAAATTGCTTAAAAAATTAAAGGCTTAGGACCTAATAAGATAAAATTTGTACTCTCGTAGTTAGTTTATGAAGCCGCAAATGAACAACGCATTATCCCAACTCAAATTCCAACAATAAAATATAAAAAATTGGTCTGTTTTGTCCACCAATTTGTTTATCCTCCGCCTATCTTTTTCGAAATAAGTGTTCAAATATATAATGAAGCATGCGTTAATAAAAAGGAGTAATGTTTGTACGTACCAGTGCAATACTGTAAACGCTTCTTAACAAGTTTTGCAATGTGACGAAACAAACAATTAAATATTACTGGCCTGCATCACTGTATATTACTACAACACGTTTCTGTAAAAACAAAACACCAACTGGTGGATATAAAAAAATCCTAATCGGTCCGTATGGGTCTTTTCGCTATAGACGGCATAAAAATATTATTTCAGATATGTGTCTGCGATATGTAAGAGTAATTGCATCTCCATAATATCTTGCAATTAAATATGATGTGCATTTTCCGTATATAAGCTGAGTATGAATATATTCGATTCAAACTATTTTATTTTAACAAGATTTGTAAGACACTTGTGACATGAACTTCTTAAAGTAAGTTTGGGTTCAACTTTTACTAGGTATGTTTGCAGAAACTATTTACTTATTTCACTATAAACAATTCTTGCCCTTTCATAAAAAAAATAATTCTTTACCAATTGTTGATATGATATATTAGTCCATTGTTGTATACAAATTAAGAGAAAGAACTTCAATATCAAATTCCTAATGAAAACGTCCTTGGTCAATCTGTCTCTCTTTATATAGTCTGTGACAAGTATTCTCCTAAAAAATTTCTTGACTGTATAATCCTTTCGCAAATTTCTGATTTAAATTAATCCCATGTCATTATGTGATACATAAATGAAATGAAACCATGAGTGAAGTAATTGCACGCAAAATTTGTAAAAATTCCCAAACTGTGTAACAAATAACACCTGAAATGACTTTACAAATTTATAAAACTAACACATAATCTCGCCGTTATTTTTTATATTATTTATTATATATATATATTTATATGTATAAAGTTTTAAATGAGAAATATCGTATAAATTATTGTAAATTTATATGACGACTTGTTGTTGTAATGCTGCCAAAGTAAATAGCACAAGGGATATACATTATTTTACAAATTTGTACAGAGGTTTTGTTTACTTTTAGTAAAGATTCAAAATCAATTCAAATCAATTTGTTACTTATTTACACATTAATATTCAAAGCTGGGTTATTCTTACTTATTTAAATATGTGATAATAAAACAATAATAAGATGATTCTCGAAAGATTTTCAAAACAAACAATTTCTGTAATTATTACACTACATTAATAGACGACTCATGTTAGTAATCAGAACGAAATGTACTCACGTTTTTGTAATAATTGTCTAAAAATTTCTGATTACTTTATATTTTATGTTTATGATTATTTTTTATGTTTCCAATTATCTCTTGCAAAAATTTCCATTTCCTAGAAAAAAAACATGTCTTGCACATAGCACACCTTTAATACGGTGTTTTTATATGTTAGAGGCGGCATGTATAATTTCAAAGCCTATATTTGTACCATAAAATATACAAAAGACATATAAAAATTGATTTAAGTTTACTATAAAAGACGACAACGAAAACTTCTAATATATTTTTTATTTTTTTTTAATATTTTTTTAAATAACTTTCTTTCTTTGCTTTTTTCAGAAATAACTGCATCACCATTCACTTCACAAAGTTGAAAATTCCTTTAAACCTTTTTTTTTATAAATAAGCGAATGGATTTTTTAAATTAATTTTTCTTCTTTTTTTGATTTTCAGTAATAACCGTATAACCATCCATTTCACAAACCTGCAAGTTTCTTTGGCTCTTTGCTTTGGTTGGTCATGAAAAAACCGTTAGCTGGGTTTTTTTTCTTTACATGTTGAATAAAAGTATCATGTGTTAAGAATAAGTTAACTTAAAGTTATGGCAACCATGTCAGCATTAAACATTTGCCATGAAGAAGAAGAACAACAGCAAAATATTGCGTCTGTTCATAGTTTTCTGGTAAAAGTCTAGAGTTCCCCGGAAAAGGCATTGATGAGCTGGGTTCTTTTTCAAAAATAGTGAACTCCTCTGTACAATAATAATGGACTTCTATGTTAAAAATAACAAACTCCTCTACATCTAATAATATTGAAAAATAATTTGCACTAAAGACTATTTTATATGCTATGCTCCTGGTTTTCAATGGTTCGCTTTAATGATTTATATGTTTTTTAATTCAAATCGGCTGTAGATTCTCTTAAAGAAGGTTTTCCTTTTAGTATTTAAATATAGGCTTAATACTCCATCCTGAAAACGCCATATTGTAGTCATCCTCCACGAGACTTTCAGTTAGGAATGTGTAATTCCTCTTACTCCATAAGGAATTTATTAGTTTGTTGAATCCACAAAGGAAAGAAGAGAAACTATAAGATTTCGATTCTATAAAAGAAAAGAAGTGAACACAAACGGCTTATGGTAAATATTTATAGAAAGTTTTATACAATATTTGCTATTAGTATTGAAGTATGACACACCGGTAAGTATATGTCAGTATGTCAATTGCATGGTCATTTTTTAATGTAAGATTATGTAGATAAATGTATAATCATCCATATTGTCAGTATTCTTACTCCCACAATTATTTCGCATCTTATATTGGTAAATGGAAAATAAAAATCAAACCAAACCAAACTGCGAGCCGTACGCCTGGAAACGGAAATTCCCCTTCTTATAAGCATATCAAAGACCGATAAAGACAAACCGATTAGTAAATCGGGTGTTTTGTTTTTCTATTGTTGTCGTAATTTTTCCTGCAGAATATTCCAACCCAGTTGTTTCAGTTTCTTTTTGAAACAATGGAATGGGCTTCATTCCTTTTTTCTCTCTCAAACAGTCAGTATCTTAACAAAAAACATTTTATTCCTTGTTTTCCATTGCAAATCAACTCAACCTACACAAATAGGATAAAATAATAAATAAATAATAATAATATTTTTATATAATTCTAAATATATATTCTTAACAAATAAATTTGGTAATAATCATTTTTAATAGTCATTTTTCAATTCCTGCAAAGAACAAGAAGTGAATTATAATCTCTAATCACACAAATGAAACAGAAGGAAAAATTTATCCCCGCAGTCGAAACTTAAGTTATGAAAAATTTACTTTTCTTTGAATTGTCCTTTTCTTATGTGTATATTAAATACATAACCCACTGATTATTTGTGTGCAGCTAAGAGTAACCAATAAATTTTTAAAAACTTTAAATTCCAGCTGTAGGACAAATCATTCTGATCGTTTTACTGATCGTCTTTTACCAAAGGCACTAACGAAGAATTACGTTTGCATATGTTAAGAGCATCAAAGAAATTTTTTCGGAAATCCTGATCAGATTTTTGTCCTCCAAGTTGAGTAACAACCACGATTATACGCCAGAAAATTCGTAAATTATATGAAGCCTAGAAAACGGACTGCATACCTAAGTCAGGAGAAATATATGTCCGCCAAAACAAAGTTCACAAATTCGTACTAAACCGTAATCCAAGAAATAAACATGTTTTCAACAACCAACAAAAAGAAAGTAATTCGGAAAATTTTTGCGTCAATAATTTACGTGTTATTGAGCTATAATTTGACATAAACATTTACATATTTACGCATGATTATGCCAGTAACACGCCTATGCAAAAAATACTGCGATTTATATACATTCAATTGCGGGAATGCACATTTGAGGCTCGCCGCAACGAATCCAGCTGGATAATAAGGGACACATCTCAATTAAACAACCAACTGTAATGCCCAAAATGCGACCCTAAATTTCAAATCGCCACATTACTATTTTGTTTTAAGAAAGGTATAAATTTCTTTGATAAGCGTACAAAATTTGCTGATCTGCGACTAGATTTCATTTCCATTTGAACGGGTGTTAAATCAGGCGGACGTAAGCCTAATAGCTCGCAACCTCTTTCAACGTCAATGCCCAAAACGTCACTGATCGTATTGCCGAAGCCAGCAATAGCTATCAATCCTATATCGTTACACTGCGCCCGGTAGCAGCGTAATAAAAAATTAGAAGAAACGGAAGAAAAAACCGCTAATATTGAAAATAAACGCGGGGAGAGCTCAGACCGGGACAACAGTTTTGTCAGTATTAGTAATAATGTGAATAATTCTATCGGAAGTCGTTCTCTAAGTAAGTGAAATAAATTGCATTGATTTTATATCAATGATTAAAATGTTGCGAAATATTTGCTTATTAAACAAGTATTTAATTGCGTTTGAATGTGAATTAGATAAAAAAACTTGGCAAGTTGTGTTTTATTTCAGATGGTTTAATACGTAACGAACAGTCTTGGGAAGAAGTGACCATTGTAGTGCCATGGGGCACTATCCAAGGTTTTTAAAGAACTTTCGTCCTTTTTTTGCTTTTATGTTATGTAGCTAAGGTATATGCTTTTTTTCAGGCAAATGGTGGGGTAGTCGCAATAAGCAACCGATATTGGCTTTAGACGGTTGGCAGGATAATTTTGGCACTTTTGATCGTTTATGTCCATTGATGCCCGCAGAATTGCCCGTACTTTGTATTGATTTGCCAGGTAGGTACTGAGGTTACTTCAGCTCATCCTACAATCGAAAATAAAATTATTCAGTTGCTTTTTAATATTTATTTGAAAGCATCTTCGCTTGTTCATTGTGTAAACTAAGAGTTATTTAACTGCAATTTGATCCATAAATATTTATTTCTAATTTAACGAAACACAATGAAATGGTGTGTAATGTCTAGTAAAAATTTCATAATAACACCCGATACCACTGAATATATATCAACATTGCCATTGCGATTGTAAGAAAGAAATATGTTTTCTATGAAGTCTAAATAATATTGACTTATTGGCCGGATTTCAGTTTATTTTTCAATGATTGTAGCCGTGGTAGTTAAAAACAGGTACGAGATATATCATCCCTCCCCTATGTTTATATCTCTTTTACGGTCATCAGCCAAGTATGGATATATATCAATTCCTTTATGCCGGGTATAATGTGTTATTGATAACATGTAACAGTCATTATAAATTTTGCGCGGAAAGTTTATAAAAAAATTTTCTATTAGGTTTTCATTATGAAGTAATATAGGCATTTTGATCTCGGCAGCGTTTTGATTTGATGGTACTTGATATCGAATTTGAAAAAGTGAAAATATTGATAATTAGGATTTTTTTGGTATTGTTGGTTGTATCCAAATAAAAAGATCTACGCAGTCCAAATGCGCTAAGTTCGATTATCTTATCAATGTAAATTTCTATCGCCGAACCAAATTTTTTCATTAGCGTTCGCTAGTATACCAAATTTCGTGAAAATATCTCAAAAATTACAACCTGTAGGTTGAATACTAAGATATGAGACGGACAGACGGTAGGCGGGCAAAAAAAAGTTAGTTCACTTCTGCTGCATGGACATAATAAAAGGTGACCTGGCCTGAGTATTGTATGCCTCCATACAAACTTAATATATCCTGTTACCGCAAGTGGTGTAGGGTATAAAAATGACAAAATTGAAACGATGTCTATAAAAAAGTTATGTAATTTCGGCAGCGCAATGGATGGCGACGCCGACAATATTCACCGTTTGATCTACGCAGTATGTTGAGCCGCCCGAATCAGGGCCGTGAAGCGCTCACGCGTGGTGATAATATAATCATAATAAATCAGTACTACTACGAATAATAAAAGTAAGTAATGGTATTAATAATAATAATATTTATGATATTTATTTTGTGATTATTTTTAGGTACAAAGCAGACACCACTCTTAAAACACGTCTCATGTCAAATGAAAAAAAAAATAAATACTAATTGTGATTTTTATAAATAAATAAAAATTTCGTTCAACTTCAGTTTTTGTCGTTATAAGAAATTTTTTCTCTCAAATAGCCCTCAAAAATACATAAAGGAAATAGGTAAACTTTTTTGTATCGGCAAGCAACCTCCCGTTTGCAAGCCAAGGAGCTTCAAGGTCTTGATTGTTTTATCCCAAATATAGAAGTTTATATAATTAACCCTGGGAAAAATAAGCCTGCAACCTTGCTTATGTAAATTTTAATTTTTTCTTTCTTTGAATGTAATTTTTACCCTGAAGAATGTTTAAAAATATTTGATTCACCATTTTTTTGATTTGATTCTAGTCCAAAAATTTTTTATTGCAACTGCAATGTGGCAAAAAAACATAACAATTATTTTAGACTAGGCAAAACAAATGTATATACAGTCAAAAAACGTTTCTTTTTTTAAAAAATTCTTTTGTCTAAATTAAAGGCAATTGCTTTGATTATCCGATGTTGCTCTTGCTTTGTTCGTTTATTGCTTCACTAAGAAGAAAATAATTCAACCAGTGCGAAGAAGGTTTTACGCAGAAGGTTTGTCGCAAATACCTGATTAAAGATGTTTTAATGGTTTCCTGATTGTTTCCGATTCTTCTTCCTTCACTTGGTCGCTTTTGCTCTTCTATCATCTCCTCTAGATATATATAGTATTTTGGAAAATACGCGACCTAAACTTATTTAATTTTACAAGTTACCCGCCTGAGTGGCTTCAAATTTCAAGTGCGCTTTAAAAGAAAAGAATTTATTCTCCGTTGTTTGGAATTTCTATACAAATTATTGAGAATATATACGCTTATTCTCGTATCGATGGCTTTTTTACAAAGACCTGTTGAATTATTGAGAACGAATATGCGCTTATTCCTTAAAGTGATACAATACATGCAAAATTATCGAGAATTTTATACGCTTATATATTATCCAGCTTTTCGTGCAGGAGAAAAAAACTATAAAAAACTACGTTACAGTGGCCATTTCTATCATTCATTCATTATTATTAGAAAGAGAAGAATAAGAACAATTTATCTTGTATAGCCTAGTCTATCGAAAACAGATTTTGCATTCCTTGATGACGAAAATGACGACGGAGGGGAGACATTGACCTTGCTTAACCGTGTAGAAATGCTTGCTACGCTGGCGTTATTAGAATTGGACGCTTTTACATTAGTATTAAAACCTAAACGTTTATATATGGGTAGATCTTTCTGTTTTGAAACTAAATCAGCCTTCATTTTCGGGAAGTATTTCATTTTAGAGAGCGTTGAATTTTTTAGTTTAGCAGGCTTCTTGATGGCGTGTAAATTGGCTGATGGGAAAATGTATCAATATATCACAAGTTGAACATCTTTTTGAAAACATCTGAAGCTTAACACTTACTTAAGCCCAAACGAGATTTAACGTTGAGTGTCTGCTCTCCGTTCAGCCTATTTTTGTATGCTGCATTATGCGTAGGTGAACTGTATTTTCTTCTAGGAGCGATTTCTCGAACTTCTGCTATGGAGGCGAATTTCACAATTTTCTCGCTGGCTCCAGGAAACTCAGTGCTATGGCTCTCCTCAAATACTTCGGCTTCTGATTCCATTTCACTAATAACTTCATCATCACTGTCCTTTTTCACAGGAACCTTTTTTACCAATAAAACTTTCTGCTTGATAGGTTTAACAATTGTTGTAGGTGTTACCCCCTTTGCCTTGACAATGGTAGACAGACGCTGAAACAATTAAAAAATTTTTTAATCTCTTCTTCCGTTTGCTTCTCAGGCAATAGTAGCCTACGTTCTTTGCTGTCTTCTTCAGTATAGGTTTAATTTCTTTTGGCACCATCATGGATTCTTCGGTTTTACCACCTAAACGCGAAAATATCGATGTCGAATTTGAAATTCTTTTATTTCCCAAGCCAGTTATATGTATTTTAATATGTTCCAAGGTATTGGAAGTATTGCTTGCAGTATTCTCCACTTCTATGCTAGATTTGGAATTTGTTGCTAGCCTTTGAAATACATCGCTCTTCTCCTTTGCGATTTCACGATCTGAATATACTACAGGATATGTAGGGAAATAGTTGAAAACTGTTTGCTTAATCACAAAACTTACATTTGGCTTGTGCTAGTAAGGCCTTACTCCTTTCAGTTGATCCAGTAGGCAATTTAATTTTATATTTACCCTCGTGCTCCGGTAGAACCCTCCGCGGTTTTGTGACGAAAGGCAAAGGATTTACTACCGCAGCTGAAGTGGCCACTGAAGTCGCTAAATAAAACACATTAAAAGAGAAAAGAAGATAAGGTTTAAAAGATTTACATTTCATTTGAATTTCTTCATTGTGAGGCGAGACTGGGTTGGCAGGTATAGCAGCTACAGGTATAGAATTATCGGAGCTTAGCACTTTTTCTCTGGCTGTCTGCTCATTAACGGTCTTTGCATGTCTCAAAAAAAGAAGGAATATGATAAAATTATTGCGACGCTATCACACTTGATTTTAATTTGCTTTACCTTAATATAGCTATGATATCGCCCATACGTGATATGCCCATTTCTCGGAGATAGTCTTTATTCAAATCCATTAACATATCGATCTGTATCCGGTTTTCTACAAATATGTGGGCATAAGAGGCCGCCGCAGGAGATGGTATACCTGATGCGTTGAAAAACTTTACCCATGCTAAAAATTGATATAAAGAGTAACATTTTATGGCATCATGAAAATTCGAACATACCTCCCGCTGTTATCGACATTTTTTCTCGTTAAATAAAATTTTTCCCGCTATTTATTTTTTTTCCACAATTCTTTCAAAATGTTTTATTATTTTTTCCTTAAAAAATCTCGAACAAATTACGGTAACTTACGAGCAAACAACACTTACGATATTTGCTATTTTTAACAAACTTGTTATGAATGTAGTGAGCTATCAGAAATAAGAATAGCAGGTGACTCTGGCAATTTTTTGATACAAAATCTTTACGTTAGGTAATCTAAAAAATATTGAACCAAATACAAAAACCACAATCCATATGTGAGGTGTGATGGGTTCGTGATAAGCATAAGATTACTTTACTCCAATATAAGAGAATTCAATTTGTTTGTTTATCAATCATTCAAAAAAATCCCCTTTTTTTTTCTTTATCATCAATGTGATTTTTCTTATTTATTTCCATACGCACACATAAAAACCGAACCGATATATCTGAAAATTTTTATATATAGATATGTTCATTGGTTTTAATGTATCCAACTTAAATTTCAAATAATGAAGAAAAATTCTAGGTAGGTAAAGTCAAGTGTCTACCTACAAAGGTTATGTTTTTTCGCATTTTTTTTCGTATGGATCAGTGGTACATTGGTATACTTCTCTTAGCCTTTTCGAAAAAGTAAAAAAGAGGAAAGAATAACCAGTGATCATTATGCGTAACGATAAATAAAACATCCTAAGCTCAAACATTAAATTAAAAATTGCGCTAAGTCGGTTGAGATAAAAACATTATATATGTACATATATATAAGCATTAAAAATATATATAATGTATATTGGTTGGACATAACATAAACATCTTCTGCTTAGTAAACATACATAACATATATACCCAATTTGGCTATTACCTCCGACAAATAGTTTGCGGAAGCCATATTCAGACTTTTATACGTTAGAAAAGGTTAATACATCAGCTTTGATAGCCATATACACATTTTATAAAATAACACGGAAACAGTATGCTGGACCGAATTTTTTTTCGAATTGAAAAGAACTAAATTAGAATGTGGAAACACTGTTTCTTTCGTGCTGCACAAAAAAGAAATAATAGAAAAGGCAGATCGTAAGAAACCAAAGAAAATCGTAAGGGCTGGATTTATTAGTGGAAATTTTTGAAACTTTATACTTGAACAGAAGCTGCTCGTTTTTCTAGCCGTGGAAAACGGTGGCCGTAACTTATATTATTTATTTATAATTCCGAAGCGATGAGTAGTAAACATATTTACTCCACCTGTAACTTAACTGACCTGCAGCTGAAGGAACAAGGTAACTGCTTGTTTTCCGCAAGGAAGTATGATGATGCCATCAATTGTTACACAAAAGCTATAGTAAGTTTGGTTTTACAAAAAAAAATTGCGCTGCTCAAAAAAGCAAATATATTAATTTGACGATTAGATAAAAAATCCTACAAATGCCACTTACTTCACAAATCGGGCCTTGTGTCATTTAAAATTGAAACGCTGGGATTTGTCCTGCCAAGATTGTCGTCGCGCTTTGGATATTGACGCCAATTTGCTCAAGGCTCATTTCTTCTTAGGACAATGCCTAATGGAATTGGAAATGTATGATGAAGCCATTAAACATCTGCAAAGAGCGTTTGACCTTTCAAAAGAACAAAAACAAAATTTTGGAGACGACATAACGTCACAGTTACGTCTAGCTCGTAAGAAACGCTGGAATGTGTTAGAAGAAAAACGTATATGCCAGGAAATTGAATTACAATCCTATTTAAATAGGTAGGAAACAAAAGTTTAGAAAATTGGAAAGCCTGACCCAAAACAATATTTTCTTCAAGGCTTATTAAAGACGACATGGAATCCCGTTTGTCCAAGCTAAAATTAGATCAAATTACAAATGAGGATTTGTTAAAAGAAAAACAACAAGAAATCGAACAAGAGTGTGTAAGTGTTTCGAAAAGAGATATTAATTTAATAATTTTTTTCAATTTAATTTTGGACTCGTCCAGGACGATCAGGTAAAAGAATTGAATAATATCTTTGCCAAAGTGGATGAACGCCGAAGAGTAAGTTGTATTGTGCGACTTTATTGGAATAATATTAATGTACAGTTTTATTGTTAGAAACGTGAAGTGCCCGATTACCTTTGTGGAAAAATTAGTTTTGAAATTTTAACAGATCCAGTCATAACACCGTCAGGAATCACGTATGAGAGGAAAGATATTGAAGAACATTTACAACGCGTTGGTCACTTCGATCCAGTTACGAGGGTAAAACTTACGCAAGATCAACTTATACCGAATTTTTCTATGAAAGAAGTGGTTGACGCTTTCATCGCTGAAAATGAATGGGCTTTGGATTACTAAACCCTGCTTATTAAAAAAAGTTTGTAATTCATGATTTAGGTATTTCCCAGTAAGCCCAGCGGTAATTCAAGATAAAATATTTTTATATTGCGCCTTACTTACGTACCCAAATTTATTTATTAATTGGTAAAAGAAAAGAAAAATTTATTTGGATGAAGGGCTTCTCCAGAAATTTCATTAAACACAAAAAGACTTATTGAAAATTGAAATATTTACAAAGCAACCTTCGTCATTATATGATATAATTTCAGCGACAGAACTGAGGTATTAAAATTCTAATCAATTTCGTTTCATATCACTTATGATATGAACCCCAAACAAAACGTTCGATTTATATCAAATATAATTTTTGAAAGACGAAACGATTCACGTAAAAAACGGCATTTTATCATCGCACCCACATCTAAGAGACGAACTAAAAACATTCTTTAAATATACGGCATTTTTGGAAAATATTGATCTAAAAACAACCAAAAACACTACAATGGGCTACAGTCCAGCATTAAACGCCTTATAAGTGCTCCGATGTGAATGGCGTTCACCCTTGAGTCAAAATATGCCAGTGTAACAAATTTCATCCAAAGTTGCGGGTTGTAAAAGTGATTCTGAATCGATCGGCATAACAAAATTGACCTATCTCACTATATGATGCATCCATGTGCTCAGCCTTAAAAAGTGCCCTCATTTCTAAATTACCTATATTAGCAAATTCTTTCGCTAAGTTTTCCGTGATTATGGTTATGTCATGAACAAGGAGATAAGTAGCAATTCTTTGTAAAAACGTTCAACGTCGAACTGCTCCGCTCCATTTTATTAAGTCGACATCTCGTAAAGACGTTTATTGCAAATTAAAACGGCCAATGGAATTGCCAAATTTTTTAATGTAACCTTCGGTTGCGAAAGACATCAACATTTTTGAATTATGCAACGCATTGAAAATGTGATGAAGTTTTTATTTTTTACAAAATGCGAACAAATGGTGCAGACCGGACAGTTTTGCAAACTTATCGTACCATTTCTATTACATTTATATTGCAAATTTTATCCAATTTTCCAACTTTATCGCACTTGGTGCCAGTTAATCGTGGATTGAATACATTTTTCCGTTTTTCAGAACTTCTGCAATAATTTTATCCAAACTTGCCGCAAGATAAATATTGCTGTCCGAGTATTTTTTATTCGAATCGCGAGGAATTTTGCGGGATTTTAATAATTGTAAACGCATCTTAAATATAAAAGTAAAACTTGTAAAATTCTATTAGCTGTAATAAAAATTAATAGGTTATAAATATAACAGTACATAAAATAAAAAAGAGATTTCGAAACTTTTAACCGATGAATTAGCATACATTAATCATCTTTTTGTCTCAACAAATATGGTCTTTTTTTTTTGACTCGACTTTAACACCAGATTTACAGAAGCGCGACAATTTGAATGGTAAATTTTGTGAGTCGTCACAGTTGCAAAAATGAAGAAAGAAAGGGAGAATTTGGCATAAATATTCCTTAAGCTGAATACAGAAAAACTTTCACTTTCATGTTCAGTCCAAAAATGGTTCCAAACCTTTTATTGACGCGCCTACAATTAACGATAGAATCCAAGCTAATTTACATTAAAATAATTGACAAATAAATTTAAAATTGGAATTAAAATTCTACCATTAATTGTGAATCTATTAATAAACTCGGAACCATGCAAGTGTAATTATTTCAAAAATATATTTACGGACTAGAAAGTTATAGCCGAAATAAGGAAAAATTCGCTATTCTTTTCGAGATTGTGTTAATTCCTTCGGCATTGTACACGTGTATGTCGCATTTTGCAAATCCATATTACTGATCGATCAAGGAACGTTTGTGCCAAATTAAAGCATCCTGTCTTAATTTTTGTGACCAGCAATAGTAGATGTGGTTCAGAAAAAAACGACTAGACGTAAGCGTTTATTTCCTAAAGACCAACATGTAACATCTAAAGATATCGACTTCCTTATGGTGAATTTTTAAAATCAGAAAACCCGGCAGAAAGACGGGCAGTTGTATCGGGATCTTTTTCCATTTCCATTTCGTGAAGGGGCAATTTTCTATTGATTGGTATACTTGTTTCAATAGCATTTTTAAGAAACTCCCCTAATTCGGGTGTCGTCGTCTCGGTGTGTCACAGAGTTCATTGGGTGGCCTAAAATTCTATTTTGGGTTTAATAACAAACGCTTTTAACGAAACAGCATTGGAACACTTAAAGTCGAATGCCCGTTTTGTTTGGATTCATCATTAAGAGCTAACAATGTATCATCGGTCTGTTGACATAAAAATTGCTTTGAATCATCTTGAGGCAGTATAAATTTAATGTTAAAATGTCAGATGCATAATAGTTTAATTCTATTGGCAAATTTCTGAAATATGCTACGCGTCCACGGTTACAAAAAATAAACATTTTTAACAAACGTTAACCACAACAGCCTTTCGGAGCGAAATCGGACGAATAGGAAAGTATCAAATTGTTTAGTGGCATACTTTCATATTTCATTTTATTTAATCGCTTATTTTTATTTAGCGATAGAATGTTCAAACCGGACGTTTCGGGAGAAACTGAGCAGAAGTAATATTTTTCATAATTGTGTTTGTTTACGTAAGACGTTTTCGATTCGGTCTGTTTTGCAGCGACATAAAAGGAATTTTTCAGGTTTCGTGTTTTTATTTGGTATTCGCCAATTTTCTTTACTTTATTTGTGTACCAAGTAATAATTTTTCTTTTGTCATTTAAGATCCCATCAAAAACGCGGACAACACCCTTTAATAGAACACAATTTCTTTTTTTTTAAATAAATCTTAAATTCAAAATAAACCGTTTACACTTTATTTTTTTGCAAAATAGCGCGCGTTTTTTTTACATGTATGTTTATGAGTAAACCCATACGACTCATGGGGATGTTGATTCGATCGATCCTTCGCAGAACGAGCTTGTGTTCAGCGTACATTTCGTCATTTCCGACCAGACTCGAAACATTACCATGTATCTGGCAGAAAAACTGTACCTCTTCCCCGAAATTAAGGCAGTAACATCTTTCTCAAAGCCGCTGTCTTTTAAAAGAGGATTTGTAAACACTTTTACTCCATTTGGGGCACATATATATGATATGAAATTTTTGTGTGAATGTATGCAACGTACAGCGCGGCTTTTAAGGAAGATGTTCATATCGTTCGATTCACAATCAAGATTTGACGATAGCGTTATATATATATATGCTTATATTTATGAAATTTTTTTTTTTTAATATACGTTACGGGAGTTAGCACTTTGAGCGTACTAGACGAAGCCGTAGTGAAAAATGCAAAATTTTAAAACCCTTCCAGATCTATACCACAGATATTATGAATAATTGCTTATCATTGTTAGTTTTGTAGCTTTTTTGTTGCTTTATAATTTATTTATAATCAAGACCGACATATAACATCGATTACTGCGCTTATTCATCTGTTAACACGATGACGCCATATATTGCGCTTGGCCGACGATCAACAAGCTTAACCTTGCTTTTGAGCCAACTCCCGAGCTTTGGCGCGCTCTAGTTTGGCAATACGAGCCAAACTTTTTGAACCAAGTATACCACCGCCCCAATGTCGTCGAATTTCGTCATGTCGTTCATTAAAGTTTGTCTTTATGGCTTCCACTAATTTAGCCAAATTAGCCTTGTCATTGGCTTCGACATTCGTAAGGGCCAGAGCAGTGCACGTTTTACGACGCACTAGTAGGCCCAGACGCGCCTTTCCTTTGATTATGCAGTAGGGCACGCCCATCTTCCGGCATAACGCTGGCAAAAACAAAACCAACTGAAAAAAAAATATAACATTTATTTAACATATTGAAGAAGCAAAAACAGCATTATTAACTATTTATTCGGATCAGTAAAGGAAATATTCAATCCTTAAAGTCAGTTGAAGAAATTCATTTTTATAACATCATGTTGTATAAAGATATACAAGTAAATATATTTCTTTGCACTTACCTCTAAAGGATCAACATCATGGGCAATAACTACAAGTTGAGCCTTCTTCTGTTCAACCATTTTAGTGACAGTGTTTGTGCCCGAACGAATAAAATTGGGTTTCTTTTTCGGTTGAACATCTTTGCCCTTTGCCTTGGCTTCAGCAATTTTCTTTAGCCTCTGTTTTTTAGCAATTGCTGATTCTGGTCGGTATTTTTCCAGCAACTTGAACAGCTTTACGGCAGTTGTTTTATCAAGGGTCTGACTGAATTGATGTATGGGAGGCGGAACTTTCAAGCGCTTCTGCAATACAGCCTTTTGACGCTGGACACGAATATATTTAGGCCACTTAACAAAACGAGAGAGGTCACGTTTTGGCTGAATGTTTTGACCTTTAATAAACAAAACAGAATTTACATCTAACGCAATCTAACCAAATTTGGCACATTTACTTACCAATTCCAAAGTTTTTAGGACGTTTCTCAAATAATTGATTAACGACCTTTTTAACCACTGGCTTTTTAACTGCTAATGGGGCCGGAGCAACTTTCTTGGTAACTGGCTTCTTCTTCGGCTTGGGCTAAAACAACAGAACAGTTAACAGAGCGGTTTTTAATTTTACGATTTGAGACTTTCGCCTATTTTTACCTTCTTAACGACCATTTCTGATTATATTTTTAGCGGAGCGTTTACTAAAAAAAATAGCAAATATTATCGCACACCGAAAATACTATGCTTCCAATGTGCCTGTCAAAAATGTAAAAGAATTAACTTAGCGGAAATCAAACACACAACAGCGAAACGTCATTTCTTACATGATGCCATATGTTTCCAGAAGTCAGATTTTTTCATTTCCTTCAAAAATCCCCAAAAACGGTGTGGCCAAGCATACTGTTATACAATGCGCGCTTATCCAACCTTGAAATGTAAGTTGAAAGCGTCGAAGATAGATGGGTGCATTTGCAGGCATATTACCCATGGAAAATCGCTTAATTTTTTATTTTTCTTCTACTCCTTAAATTTTCGGCAAGTCCAATAGTTGATTTTCCGTGTTATAAGAAGCTACAGTGTAAGCACAAGATTGCCTGAGTTTTAATAAAGCTGACTTTTAATTCAGATTGTTGGTTAAAACTAGATTCTGACGTTCTATTTTTTATTAGCAACCCTATTCCGTCACTATATCATTCAACTGTCATAAAATTTGTGCTTGTATTTTCCTATCATCGTTTCTCTCACACTCCGACACAAAAGTGTCAAATAAACGCTACAATATCAATTCTGCGCTATAGTAGGACATATAATTTACGAAAAACACAAATTGAAATGTAAATAAAAAACGACGAAGCGTTAAAAATTAATTTACATTAGAGATTCTTTTAGCTTTTTCAAGTTATATGGCTGTGTCCTCGATCTCTTTGCAGCAAAAAATGTACGTCGTCTCGGGGAACTAACTTGCTTTATTAGAAAAGCCAATTTATCCTTTTAGAATTTTTCTTTTTCCTCCTCTTTCCTTTTTTTTTTTCTTGTTTTGCGTTCAATCATTTTCAATTACCATAACATTCCTTTTCGTTTTCAGCCAAAGTTTGCAACACTGTCTGACTTACAAGAACTCAACAAGCACACTTACACACACACACACACACAATTACATTTAACATGCTCACTCCAGTTATTACGGTCGCTCTTTTTTTTTTGTTACGTTTTATACATAATCGTGACTAAAAATTACAACAAGTTATTATTTGGACATATAAGCCACAAATCTATTGGCTTAGTCCATCTCTGTTCAACATACCAAAAAAAAAAAAAAAAAATTAATTTAATATAATAATTTGTTATACGTATTCTGTCTCTATCACTTTTGAATGAAAAATTAAAGTTTAGGATACAAATATACCGCAGTAGTAGTATGAATAATCCATAGCGTGAAATTTTTTTTTAAAGACTTAAGTGACTGATTGTGTTTTTGAAATATCGATCCCCACTATTATAGCATAACCACTAGCGTGGTCGCCTGCAATTCATTTTGCATTTACTCTTAAGCCGGGATACGTTGGAAATATTAAAAAACCCAATATCAAACTTGCTCTTAGTTGTATTCAACGTAAGCTTATTCTACTGCAGAAATTAGTTCTAAATCCTTCTTGACGCGAAAGGAAATATCTTTTGCATGCGGCCAAGACCGAAAGATGCTGCATCATCAGCTTCATCAGGTAAAATCGGCTCTAACATACGAGATTTGCGAAACCCCAGACACAGTTTCCTTTTTTTCAGAAGATAAATAGCCAAACTTAACGCGCGGTTTTCGGGTAAGAGTTTGTGAGTATAATCGCTATAGGTCTGAAAACAAAGCAATTCCCAAGAAAAGCCAATCTCAGCTAAAACTGCTAAAGTATCCTCACAGTGTTCAAGTACTTTAAGTATCTCAGTGTTATAGCTAGGTTTAAAGCGAAACTGTTTGGAATTAAGGAAATCTTTGGTTTTCAAATGTATTCTAGTTCGTTCAGCTAGTAATCGTTGCATAGAGTAGACTACAATAGTTACAACTGCTAATTTCGAGCATTTGGAAAACGAGCAAGCCGTAATTATAATAAAAGTAGATTCCAAAGTTGTAATGATAAAGAAAACTCTCCAAAAATGTGCGTTTTACGTTTGAATTCTGTTTTCGTTTCATTCATTCAAAAGTTTGTAAACCCCTTCCTTCTGACTTTTCAGGATCAAATAATACCGTTGTACATCGCTTCTCCCTGTACATTCGTAAGATATTTTGCTTTAATATACCGACTCGATATAAAGATAACAATAACTAAGTGTTGACCACAATTTGCGATGACTAAGACGCTCTTTTTCGGAGAATCCTTGCAAGCATGAAATTTTGAATAAGATCTACGTGCATGGTTCAAATTTGGTACGGTTTATTTGCGTGCAAAATTACTTTTATGGACCAGCTTTCATCGGCCCAAAAGTTTTCACAACGATTTAATGCTGATAAGTGTTATTTCTCAGCGATCTTTGTAGTGAAATTTTCGAAACTGTTACTATTTTTTGTCAAGAGTATGTTATTGATAGATCAAAAGCTAGATCAAAAAAAAAGTTGTGACGTGTACAGTGACATGTTTTCGCCCAAGGACAAATGCTATTGAAAATGGTTCGTATCGGTCCACTTTTTCAGCAGTCCCCATACAACGCCTTATTCTGGGAAGTCGCTATATGGGAAAAAAATTGTAATTTTCAAAATTTCTAGCCAAATGTGGCTAAGTATTAGCATTTCGTTTGGAACAAGATATAATTTTTGTGTTCTAGAGTAAAAATAAGAATGGTCGGCCTTGCCAGACTATATGTTCTTATCTGTCATATTTATAAATAACATGTAAGTTATTAAGTGTAATAATTCAAGTTAATTAAAAAAGCTAATAAAAAATGAATATATACAATGCCTTCCGTGAATCAAGCAAAAGCCGAAGAATGTGTTCTTGTCTGTTAGTAGTATTTGTGAAAAATTTCGAAAAAGTGATATCGTTTTTCAAGTAAAACTTTTTATACCCAACACTTAAGAAAAGTATATTGTCAAACCATTTGCAATACCTAGAAGGAACTTTCAGAGCTCCCAGAGAGCATATATATCCGTGATCAGCATAAAATTGTAAGACGAATTAAGCATGTCCGTTTGTCGTTCTGCCTGCCTGCGAAATATCTGTGGTAAACAATGAATCGATTTTTTGCTTTTTCCTCAGTAGATAAACTTATAAAAATATAAACGTAGCAGAGTATCTGTACAAAAATACGAAAAACCGGCCACGCCTGTTTAATACTATAGTGCTGCCAGGGTTAAACACCCATAATGTATATACACACTTAAGGAGTGTTAAATTCGGAATGCATCGCTTAGTACTTAGTCCAACATTCTAGAGTAAGGGGATTTAGTTATAATAGATTTTTATATAATTTTCTTACTTGCTATTGATCATATTTCACTGAGCGTCGTTTAAGATGACTTAAGCGTTTGGTTTAATTTGCCCATTTAAATTATGGAAAGCGAATTTACAAGAAGTATCATTGAGCATCGACCTTTTTGTGGAGCAAAAGATTACTTTTAATTTTCAGAAAATTTAAATAAAAATACTACGAGGTAATATACTCATATTATGACGTTCAGTTTCTGAGGCCTCTGAACAGGTATTGTTATTTCCTATTTTTAAAGGTTTCGTTGAAATTTTGGAAGAGGAACACGGCAATGCATTGCGTCAAGCAATATGTACTCTCGAAAACCGAAGAGGCCAACATCGAGGAGGGGTGGCAAGACTAAAAGGAATCCTAAATGTCATTTCCGAAAATGTCAATACAATGCCGGCAATATTTCGATCTGCCACGGTAATAAAGCAAATTATTATATGTGCCTGAGTAGCCGAAGGCGAGGAATCTCGACTAGCAAGTCAATGGTCGTGGGTTCGAATCTCAAGTGCGGTAGAGTTTTTAATAAAAGCCGATAGCCTTAGATGCTAGTGCTTTTAGGAGTTTAGTCTTAGAATTTATTTCTCTGGCGAAATTAATAATAATAATATTTGTGAGGGATGATTAAAGTCAATTTCTATATTTAGCCGTAGAAAGATGCGCAAGAATATGACCTGCTGCTTGAAGGAATTATTACAGATTTATCCCTGATTTGAATAAAAAACCGTACGTAGGTGGATGATCTTATAGTCCTAACACAATAACTTAGCAACCTTTTTTCGGGCCGCGGCTTCATGACGTTCGCTTACATAGCTTATGATATATTCAACTTTTATTTCATAAAAAGATGTGGCCTTATTGTATTAGAGCCTTTACTTATACGAAGCAACTAGATTATAAACAAGATTCTTAGCATTGCTTCCCGAGTCGGACAAGCAACTTTAGACTCTTAACTAACGGTTGTATTTTTGATGTTAATACGAACACGATCCGACGAGAACAGATTGCGTGACAAATAATGGAGAATATTGCTTGGGAAACTTATAAAAACGTGTTTTAAGACCTGCGGAACGGTTCTGTGGTGTCTTACTGAAATTCCAAGGCGTAATTTCGATCGGCATTGCGTGATATAATTACCACTAATAGTTTGGTTTAATGCCACATATCCGTTACCTTAGTCAAATGGAGCGGCTTTGCTTATTAGGCTGCTAGATTAATAATTTGTAACTTTATATGCTTTGCGATAGAGGACGTGATGCACGCCGCAAACGCACTCCACAAAATGCACGTAGCCAGTAAAATTGAGTCTTGCAAAGATTGGTTTCTCGCGAAATCCTCAATAGCACTGGTAATTATAATGTTACCACTGCAGTCGAAGCGTGGGTTGTTTAGTAAATGACAGATGTGCGCAGAAGACGTGTCCAATGCAAAAAAAAACATTTTTTAGTGAGGTGAACAATGAATGGAGGGCGAGGGTGTTTGCATCCAATCAAGCAAATAAAAAAAGTTGTTTCGCTGATATCAGTTTTAGAATAAAGGTAATGGAGCGAGCGAGCGATTGAAAAATACAAGCTCCTGTAGAATAACATATAATATACATATCTACATTGTGCGTACTCCTGAGAGTCGAAAGAATTGTTCAGAATTGTTTTAATCACCATGTCTACAAATCTGAAGATACTATTTTTGATGCGCAATTACTTTAACTGTATACGAAATATTGCTTAAATCACGATTCAATCGCGCGTTGGACCTTAGTTTTCTACAGTTGAACTCCTATGCCCACCGACAATTTAAATGAGATTGCCCAGTTCTTACACTTGATTCCCCGATTATTAATGTTATCATCCGGAATCTTCTCTATGCATCCCCATGGAATACGGAAGGCCATTACATGGAACTCCATATGAAATATGTCTAGTTTCTTTCATAGTTGGTGCAGTAAACACTTTGCAATTAGAAATTTGAAAGGCTCTCCCAATTTCTGCTAGTGTTGTACAGGTCTTACGTACGTGTAGCCATAGCATGTATCAAGAAATTACTACATAACATTATTACTATTATTATCATAAATTTAGCCAGAGAACAAATCCTAACACTAGTCTTAAAGCAAGCACTAGCACTAGCACCTAAGGCAAAACATTTAAAAACACTTTGTAGTGAACTTGAAAATCTAGGTAACAGTTAATGACCAAACGGCATAGGCATTTCTGGAGAGAAGAAAAGTAATGCCGCATAAATACATACCGGCGTGCTAGATACATAAAAAGAAATCGATCTTTGCATCCATGAAATTAATCCTCGTACATATTTTTGCTACAAGTTATGATCTTAAGGAGCAAACCCATTTTAAGAATTTTCCATATTTCTGCAGCCCAAAAATTTGTTGCGACGTAAAGTGATTATGGCAGACATAAATCTGAAAAACTCGACATCCTGCTGGAAGAATTACACCGCAGAAGTCATGCTAGCAAGGAATTTATATCAAATTCTGAACTCCAATTTTAATAAAAAACAGCTTAAATTGTTATTATAAATGTTATCATTATTATTATTATTAATTTAGCCAAAGAATTAACACTAAGACTAAAGTCGAGACTCTTGCCTGCTCGGCCACTCAGGCGGAAAGACGGGAATTTAAAAATTATAGCAACACATTTATAAAGCTAGGAGCACCTCCGTGATGATTTGTGCAAAACACTACCCTACGTTCAAAATCCACACAAAAATTATTTGCAAAAAATTGATAATAAACTGAAAAGTTGACATTAATAGTATTCGTAATTCATTAACATACTGCTTGGGCGTACGGTGTTCTCCGATCCCGATACCCCCGAACAGCGCAAATAAATGAATTATTTATATAAATTCGATAAAATCACGTTTAAAGCAAAAACTTGACCTTTTCAAATTGAATTGATTAAGAGATCAAATAAAACAACAAAAACTGAATAAACTAATAATGTTAAAAAATTGCGGAGAATTTATACGTAGTACTTATATGTACAAGAAAAAGAACTAATATTCCACATCAATAGATTTGCATATTCATTCAAGTTATTTTACATTCACTAAAGTGAAATACTTGATCAATTAGCGCATTTGGCACATTTGACGGCACATTTTTCTTATTAGCATAGCGGACGCCAACATTTCCGTTGATTGGTATTTACGAGTAAAAATATAGCGAAAATTTTGCTGCTTTTTCCTCGTTGAAACTACCATGTGTGGAGAATGGAGAAAGTACAGAGTTGCTTTCAATAAATTGCAACACTTCGATTCAGTTAAAATGCGTGAGAAATGAATGTCCATATTCTGTTAAAAAGTCCATGTGCGATGACGGCATCGGATTTTCAAGTAGGTGTGAAATTTTGTTGACCTTCACTTTATACTTGCACCGTTATAATCGATCACTAAGTCTCCTCATATCGTCACTCATACCAATTTTTCTGGTAGTTTATCAGCTCATTCAAGTGTCAAGCATACCGTTCTGGAAGCGTACATCATGCTGGAAACGTACAGAAACGATTTATCATAACCTCTCATACTCTTATGTTTACTAAACTGGACAGAAGTGAAAATGTTTTCTTCTCCACCCAGTCGTTTGTTCTCATGATGACGATACAAGTTTGTGGGTTTCATTTTCGCCTTTTCGTCGTCTTTTTGGAGATAAGTTGCAGATTAAAGAGGAAAAAATGGACGTAAATTATTCATCACAAACTCTCATACCCTCATGTTTACTAAACCAAGAAAAGATGAAAATGTCCCTTTTGCCTTCCACCCAGTCGATCGTTTTCACGATGATTATGATGCAAGTTCCTGGCTTTCATTATCTTTTTAAAGGTAAGTTTTAAATTAAAGAGGAAAAAATAATTATTTTTAGGTCACAACTGTTAATAAAAAAACTTTAGCTTATTACATGGGAGCAAGAGGTTTTATTAAACCTTACAAAATGTATCTTTTATTTAAATCTATTATAAATTAATTTGTTTGTATTTAGGTAATTTAAAATTTCACTTCTTTTAATAAAAAAAAAATTAATAAAAAATTTGGTAGTTGAATGAATTACAAAGCAAGTCTTATCCCAGACGGCATATTAAAAAGTGCATTAGAGGAACTCGTATTAAATTTGAGCAATTTGTTTATTTCGAAAAAGCTGCAAAAGTTCAAATTCGGGTTAAACTGCTTTTTAAAGTGAAACTAATGTTCTATAATTTTATTCCTTTTGTCTACATTCACAATTGAAGGACGAAATAAATCAGCGGGAGAGGTTCTTAATCGAATTCTCGGAAAGCTTATATCTTATCATTTAAAATAATTAATGCTTAAGCCTGTTTCCACTGACCCCGTTTGCCGATTATTAGCATTGTTTATAATTGCATTGAAAATGACGAACAGTTGAAAATAACCTAAACTAATACGAATCTTGGAAGAGTTCAAATTTTATGCACTGCTTAAAGACGGAAATAAAGCAAAAATTTGAAAATGATTAAGTAGACTTTGATACCTAGTCCACACAGGATACTTTATTCCTTTGAAAAATGTCGCCCATTTCCTCAGAAGGAGGAGTGGTCAAACGATTTTCTCGCCGCTCTCGTCCTATTTAGATAAACTGCAGGACAAGTGCAAAAAAAAAGAAAACGTATGTAGAAAATTATTACTCTGTTAAAATGAATCATTATTCTGTTCAAATGAAAAATCGAGTTTAATATTCTGTTAAAATGAGAAATTGAGGACGCAGTTCTGTTAAAGCTTCTGTTAGAAGTTAGTGTGAACTTGTGATTATTAGATGGTTTCTATTGGACATTGGATTAAATCGAGCCTCACCAAACCCATGTTGATGACAGCTAATGTATTCCAAAAATTATATTTTAATCCCAATTTTATAAAAATCAATCGATGAGCTCGTATATTTCGACCCGAGAGATGGCTTAGACCGCATCCATGCGGCTTTGAAGGCATCCTTTTCCTCTCTATCATACGGCTATGGAGCGCGTATGTGCCTCGGATGTCGCCTAGCCGGTTTGGAGATACAAATATTGACTAAGCTTTATGAAAGCAGTACATATGTATAATAAACCAAAACCTGAACAATGAGAAATTTCAAGACTAACTACTATAGAGTTCCGAGTACCGAAAAAGTTTAAACATAAAAACTTATCTAGCCTGGAAAGGAAATTTATTTACTTAACTGTTTGCATATTTTAAGAGTGAATGTCTAAGAGAAAACGTGCGGAAGCGCCAATGAGTATTTCAACCGCAGCAAGCTTTATTCATGTTCGATTGAATAAGTTCTACCGTCCGTTTTTTTTCCATTTCTCCGATAGTTCTTATTTATATTTATAAAAATAATACGAAACGATTGGTTGATTTGAGTTTCATTTTTTTTCTTCTTTTCTTTTTTGTATACATATATATGTTGAATTTATATATCTTTTTTATTGTAATAATTCTCGTTTTAAAATATAATGTTGGAAATTGTTGCACACACGAAGTTGTTGCCCAAATTTCTAATTTTATATAAAGACGAAGTTTTATTTTTTTTACAAAGGTCCTGTTTATTCCAGCTAATATTATAGGCTGGTAGTTTCTGTTCTTGGTTTTTTATGATTGAAAAAATTACTTAATAGTTTTAATAAATTTTATTGTTGTTGCTGTTTAATCGTTGACCTAAAATTTTAGATAAGATCAGCGATATTAGCGGGCATTTCTTCAATAGTAGTATGATAAAATTGCTCAATGTCCTTAAGAATTCTTCGATCTTCGTCTGTAATGAAGTTAATAGCAACGCCTTTGCGACCAAAGCGACCACCACGTCCGATTCTATTAAATTTGAAAACCATATTAATAACAAACTAAATAAAAAACATTTGATAGAAGAGGTAATATTACCTGTGGATGTAATTTTCTCTGTTCGAAGGCAAATCATAATTAATTACCAATGATACCTGCTGAACGTCAATGCCACGTGCCAGTAAATCAGTTGTAATCAGAACGCGAGACGATCCAGAACGAAATTGCTTCATTATCAACTCACGATCACGCTGCTCCATATCGCCATGCATAGCAGAAACAGAAAAGTTGTGAGTGGTCATCTCTTCGGTTAGTTGATCAACCTGTAAGATAGTAAATAAATTAAATTTTTATTCTCTAAAATAAAGGAAGCCCGCTCGACGTACCTTACGTCTGGTGTTGCAGAAAATAACGGATTGAGTTATAGATAATGTATCATACAAATCGCAAAGAGTTCCTAATTTCCAGTTTTCTTGTTTCACATTTATGTAGAATTGTTTGATACCTTCGAGTGTAAGCTCTTCCTTCTTCACCAAAATACTGACTGGATTACGCATAAAGCATCGACTAACTTCCAGTACGTCGGGAGGCATGGTGGCGGATAAAAGGATCACCTGCACATCATTGGGAAGCATTTTAAAAACGTCTTGAATTTGATCTTTGAAACCGCGAGACAACATTTCATCAGCTTCATCCAAAACGAACAATCTTATCCTGCTTGTGCGCAGAACTTTCCGGTTAATCATGTCGTATACACGGCCAGGTGTGCCGACTACGACATGGCAACCAGCCTCTAAATTACGAGCGTCTTCACGCACGTTAGTGCCGCCGATGCAGGCATGGGAATGAACTTTCATATACTCGCCAAGAGCCATGACAACACGTTGAATTTGTGTTGCCAATTCACGAGTAGGAGCCAAAATTAAAGCCTGACAATCGCGAATGGACGTATCGATTTGTTGCAGAATAGCTATGGAGAAGGTTGCAGTTTTACCAGTACCTGCAGCAAAGAAATGTATTTTTAATTTTTTACAAATCGATTACAATCTTGCAAATATTTCTATATTAAAATCAAATAAAAACGTTAACAGTTTTTATATGCAGGGGACGTAGTAGATAAGAACGAGACAAATAAGAAGAAAGAAGAGAACTATATGACGAGTTTACACATGCCATGAATTAATTCGTAGATATTTTTATTTAATAACATGACATGCGCCCAACATTATGTATTGACTACTATTACCTGACTGAGCCTGGGCAATAACGTCACGACCCTTAACACAGGGAATGATGGCGCGCTGTTGAATTGCGGATGGTTTTTCGAAACCATAACCGTAAATGCCGCGCAGGAGTTCTTCGCGTAAATTCATATCATCAAAATTGTCATAAACTTCATGCCAGGTGGACTCTATTACACCCTCCGGTTCCATGCCAGCGGGTCCTTCATGAGCTATATCACTTTGATCATCCCTATAAAAACAAAATATTTTGGAATAATTATAGGTTACGTTAGTTCATTTTGACAATTATGCAAATATGTCGTAATTTATATTTTTGAGCAAATGTGATTTTCTTGACCAAGCTTTTCTTTACATTGTTTCCGAAAGGATTTTGCTTTCTTTTTTCTTGACCACTTCGCGTATGCACTTTTCCACTTTTTTGTCTGAAATGTGAACAATTATTCTCCGGTTTATGCTTTCCACACCTTCCCTTACTCATTAAAATATAAGCAAAGTGTCACAAACACACATAACCATAAGCGTTTCGTATGTTTTTCCAGTCAAACACTACTATACTTTCATACTCTTTCTAATCTTTAGTCATTTAAAAAAAAAAAAAGTGGTGGTTCAGTAGGCTGAATATGTACATAGATAAAAAAATGGCAGTGGGGTAGATTTGTGAGATACAGAGGTGTAATTGAAAGTAGGCAACCAAAATTTGTCTATTTAACTTTTTAAAACTTATATTCCAAAAAAAGTTAAAACTGGTATTCCAAATACATCTTTTTTCCTTGAAATTTCGCCGCCAATATGCTAAAAAATCATAATTTTGTAACTACTGTCAAAAACAAAAAACTTGTCACGTCACAAAATTTTCCATTTTGTACATCGCAATATGAACTTTAGCTAGAAGTACATTATTATTTTGAATTTTAAAGTTTTGTAGATTGTTTGCTCGTTCTTCTCTCTTATTATTTTATCATATTGCACTTCGACACCTCGCAGAACATTCGTTTTTCACATATATTTTTTCACAGCTACCGAACGGCTACTTTTTTACAGCTACTACGGCTGCAATGAATACAAATCTACAAATTGAAAAATTATCCAATTTTCACGCAAATTTCGATAAATATGAAATGTACACACAATGAATTTAGTAAATATTGCTACAGACTATATTTTGCAATTTATTGTTTTAATTTATACTAACATTTTACAAATTTAATTTGGCACTTTTTACACACGTGCTGATTCTGATATATTAAAAGCAAGCGAAAGGGCTTGCTCCATCTTGCTGAATTTCTGAGTCATATTTGAGCTTGTTCTTCTTTATTGATAACTGCAGCCAACTTCACGCTGTAGAACATCCGGTTGAACATTAGTAATAAAAATATAATAGTAGAAAAAACCTTTAAGTGAAAATCTTTAATACTCAATTAAATTTTTATACATATCATATAAACTTCTACGAATCAGTCCTATTTTAATTGCTTTTTCGTTTAAAAAACAAAAAAGCTGGTAGATACAAAATCTTATTTTTGGGGTTTCTTCCGATGAGAGAATCATAGACCACAATAATGGGAATGTGGCAACTTTTTTTTCGGTTGAACGCAATGAAATTTTGCGTGCTTATGAAGCTGTTCAGTCCATAAATACTAAACGCAGTAAAATTCGTAGAAAAAATTTATGCTAATGTTAACAATCAATTAAAATTATTGCTGATACGCTTCGTCGGGGTTGGATACTCATCTGTTCGTTTGTGTCATTTTAAAATAATAATTGTACTCAATTGTAGTTGCTTTGGACGCCGCAATAGATTTTAAGCAGATTAGGAAGAGTCGCAAACGAATTTTCGGACTTACTTCTTCTGTAAATAAGTTTTAAATACCGAAAATTATACTCAATACAATGAATAATCATAGAATGTTCGTTCTCTCTTTTTAACCGTGGGCAATTAAATCTGAACACATTGAAAACTATATATGCGAATTAAACTATTGTATTAAAAAAGGGCAATGCAGCTTTAATGTGTGAAGGCCCTTAGCTTCAGACTATTCAAAATTAATTCCTACGCTTAAAAAAGCAAGCAGTGAGTTGATCACGTAACTAAAATTCAGCTTTCGCATTTGAATTCAGCCATTTTTATCATGCAGCTGAATACAAAACCGAAAAGCAATTTTTTTTATACGTTTTTACCAAAGGGGGCTTCAAAACGTTAATGCGTTTTTCGGTTATCTGCTAAAGAAGCGCCAAGTTGTGCACAGATGAGAAACCATGTGACCATATTATTTGATAACAAAGAATAAAGTTATCAATATAACTATGAATAAAAACATATAATACGAGAAGTAAAAATAAAGAAATCAGTATAAATGTAAACGACAAGTATATGAAAAATAATGATAAACAAAAAGCAAATTGTATTCTTGATCAATTATTATTAAAGAATGAAGAAAACGACTTTTAAAATAGGGATTATGGGAAGTAGTTCTCAATGACGTCCTGACATAGGCAAAACAATTGCTTGTTTATTTGAAAATCATATATTAAATTTAAAATAATTGTATTTATTGCTTGTTTTTTTATGTCTTATAATGTAATATCGAGTATGATCCAAAATTTAAAAACACGTAACGCAGAAAAATTTTAATACAAAAGGAACATAAATTAGATAAATAACTTTAGAATATATTACCTTCATTTTTTCTTCTATGACGCTTAAGCCTCATTACGTTTAGACCTCACGCAAATTTATAGCTCGTCAGATTTTAAGGTGCACAAGTTTTTATTTTCTCTAAATTTACTAAACACGTACGTATATGTACCTTAAGTTCACGTAGCATGCCGCTCTGGTAAGAGAATTATTAATCCGCCATTTTAAATATACAGAAATATTGACAATTTTGACAGTTTTCATTGTATTATCATCAGAATCAAAGGGATGCACAACATTTTAGCATGACTTGACATACAAGAATGTTCGTAATGTCGATTGGGTGTTTAAACGGTGCTTAAAAAAAGCTTTTAAAGAGAGAAAGTGAACTTATATTACGATGACAATCAAACAAAGCAGGTAAGTAGTTGTTCAAGTACGCATTTTTTAATAACCGCAATCGTCCTACAACTTAATTTCTTACCCACGCATCTTGATTGTGTTAAAGTCTTAGAGCCGCGTTAGAGCTTTCTAAATAGTTATCCTTACTAAAGCAACATATTGCAACGCTGGCAACATTGGTTGTTACTTCGTTTGTACAAATAAAGTAACATTCGTTTTGAAAATGCAGCTACAGATTAAGGAAAATATAGACTTTTGAGGAAATACACTAGAAATATCATGACACAGACTACTCCTGCTGGCGAATTAGCAACGAGCAATCCTACGGAAATGGGTGCAACCAACTTGGAACTTCCAAATATTGATTTTCAAAATGATCACTATCCTTTTTGCATTGTTTGGACGCCAATTCCTATATTGACTTGGTTTTTCCCGATGATTGGCCATATGGGAATCTGCATGTCAAACGGAGTGATCCGTGACTTTGCAGGTTCTTATTTCGTATCGGAGGATAAGATGGCATTTGGCCGACCTGCCCGTTATTTACGTTTACATCCTAAATATGTAGAGGGTGGAGGCTTTATATGGGATGAATCAGTATCCAAAGCATCTGTATTATACGGCACACGAATGCATAATCTGTTCTGCGATAATTGTCATTCACACGTAGCTACTGCTTTATGCGGCATGCGTTATAAACATAAAACTAACTGGTCAATGTGTATATTGGCATTCTGGATGTTCTTTTGCGGCCGTTACGTTGGAATGACGGGATTCTTCAAAACTTGGTTACCATTTCTGTTTGTAGTAGCCATCTGTGGAACGCTAACTTATTACCAATAAATTTATGCTAGATATTTGAAAATTTTTACTTTATTTTGAATAAGAAGCTTAATATAATAAAATGCAAAATTTATTCACCCAACGACTTATTAATTTCTTCAGCTACTTCTAAAAGTTTTTTCCACTGCGTTATTGATAAGGATATACCTTTTTTGCCTGGCAGACTTTCGCCATTTTTTTCGTAGTATTCACGAATATCAATCAGTTTACGTCCTCGAAACTCAGATATTGTAACATGGCGCTGCTTTTCCAAAATCCACTTTGTTTCTGTGCCACCTTTCGATTTTGAATTAGCATTCGATTCTTTGCTTTTTTTAGGCGGTGGAGGCAGGCGCTAATAATAAAACTAAGGCGTAAAAAATTTGATATCAAAGTTTTAGCAATACTTACATCTTCCGGTCCGCTATCACTATCACTCTCAGAACTCTCCTCTTTTTTGCTTTTTGGCATTTTCAACTATATAAAAATTCTTCCGATCTTTCTTCCCTTTCCTTAAAATATTTTAATTTTTTAAAATTTCAATTTTTTCCAATTTTCTCGTCTTGAGTTGTCTATGGTGGCTGGAAAGCGTGCGGAATACTTTTACTTAAGGTGACCAGGCTGCGATTTTATATGTATATTTTTTGTGTATTTTCCAAATACAATATTAAATTTATTAATGGAAATGATATAAAAAAATTATTTTTAGGTTTTATATATATATCGTCTCATATTTACAAAGTTTGGTCACCTTAATTCATTGCGAGCATTATTACCTTGTTACATTGCGTCTCCATAAGCAAGCAAAGTAAAACCGAGAGGGCATAGGCAATAAGTTATTTTATGTTAATAACTTCTGCTCTAGTAGTGCAAAAGCATTTAAAGCCGCTTGGTCAAATTGTTGTGGGAATGATTTATGCAACAAATTGGTATTTTCTTAAAAATCTGTAAAACGTGAAACTTTTTGTTATTACACTTTAAAAACCACTAAATAGTCTTTACATTGTAGACCGTTGTTTAGAAACAAATTTTATAAATATTACATCGTTCAGCTCAATAAATATGTTAAGCATTATACTCCCGTCCAGATGTGGAATCTGCTATTTTTAGTATTCTGACATCTGAAAATGAAAATTGATGTATTGTGTGAATATGAATATGTAACCTTAAGTATATTTCCACTCACCTCGGTTAAAATTCTTATCACGGTTTTCCATACCACCTTTGAAACATCGTGATAGGCGCGTTGCCAGTTGTTTTGAATGGCTGGCTCCTTTGTAGGCCTACACCATCATAAACTTAACTCAAAACTGTAATTATAATAATAACAAACAAATGTATATATAATAATAACAAATAAATATAAGTCCGGTTTATACATAATACATAAATGCACAAAAAATATTTATAAATACATAAGGATTGCTGCTGTGGCGGTGTGTTTATATCTGCAAAAGAAAAATATTGTGATTACTGAATTCTATATGTAAAGATGACCACAAAGTTACCATCTGGCCTATGGAAGTATTGCATTCTGCTGAAGCGATGCGCGGAGGCGTAGCCATTTTTTAAATCTAAAATAAAATAAAAAGAAATAAATGAATTATACGTAATAATAAGTAAAGATAAACGCAAACTTACCTTTGGCATACAACGAATCTTCATGTATATGAGGCTGTAAGGGGCCGTGCATAGTTCCTTTTGAATCTAAACTAAAATAAAATAAGTATATAAATAATTTATAAATATAAATATATAATAATTACTTATTATAAACATTACTTATTATAAAATAATTACTTTTATTCTACTACATTTAATACACGAATTCTCCTTTTTCGCATGTTGGGCGAACATTTTGTAATCTAAAATAAAAGAAAGTAAATAAGCAATCCTAATCCCGTTAGTACCCTACAACTTGCGGTTGAGAATACTTGCGGTGTTCGTGCAAAAGCTGAGTGAAAATTTCGTGCAGTATATACACCGCCATAATTATGAAACAATAAAAATATATAAATAATAATATAGACGTAAATAAATATAACAAACTATATACTAGACAAACCTGAAAGAAACAACAACAAAAAATTATAAATAAAAATAAAATAAGCAAATGAAATCCTAAAAATATAATATAAATGAAACAGTTTTATTTTTTTTTTTAGTTTTAATTTATTTATATAATTTTACATTACATTTACATGTTTTCAATTTTATTTATATTATAATAATATAATTAGACCAGGGTGTACTTCTGTTATACGGGATTCCTTGTGGTCAATTGGAGTTGAATAAAGGAATTTCTTCTATATGAATTTTTTTTATTTTTAAATATTCACGAAACACCATATGAGCTGTTTTGTAGAGCTCTCATCAAAATCTACAAAACAGTCCAGCTTTAAGTGGAACACTTCAGAGCTACCGTCAACCTCTACGGTTCCTTTTAAAGCGAATGTATAAATACAGGTTTCTTAAAATACTAAAAAAATTAAATAAAACAAACGACCGATTGAATGCTTTCAGAAGAAGTCTATTATAATATATTTTTTGTAATTATTTTATCAGCAATATAAATTATGTCTTCGTGATTTCGATTTCTTGTCGAGTTTTTCCCATCATGTCTCTCTTTTTTGCCATTATCACAGTCCTATCTTTAGAGGATAATAAAGGCTGATCTACATTTTTCCAACTTTGTGGTCTTCATAATAACTCTATCAGTCCAGCAAGTAACAGTATGCCGCAAACTGAAAATCAAATGACACTCGGAATGTTGTTATAAAAACGTCACGTAGCGTAACGGAAAAAAACATTGTTTTTGATGACCAAAGGCCTAAAAATGGTAACACCACGTAGCCATTAATAATATGATAACTATTTTCGAATTAAAACATTTGGTATTAAGAATATATATTTCCATTTTTCAGGCTACGGATACAAGTTTTATTCTAATTATCAAACTAAAAACAATTTCTAACTAATTTAAAGAAGAAAACATAAAGGAAAATTATGCATTACGTATGAAATAAATTTTCGCCTTAATAATCACTTGCTTATACCTACAGCCTGGTCCGAATAAAATTCTATGACTAGAGAATATGGTTTTTTTTTAATTGCCAATAAGAGCTCTCCAAATCGATCTGTCTGTTCGGTCTACTATTGCTACACTAATTGTTAAGTAATTGGAATAAAATCAGTTAGGAGTAGAGCTCGGGGTTTTTATGAGATCAGTATTTCAAAGCTGAGTTCTCCTTGCGTTAGCTTTAGCTTTAACTCTACATATTCGTCGTGGAGCTTTAACAAAAATAATGATGTCGCAAAAAATGCAATAACGCAATGTGAATTTGTTTGCTTTTTATTTTACAAATTTGTATAAAACTAAAGTAATTTACTTAATTTCTTGCCGAAGTCTTCTTATAACTATTCAAATCAATTTTAACTGTGTAAGCACCGCATGCATTGGTGCTTCTTATGTTCATAAACGAAATTGATATATTGAATGCATTACATTTATTTTACAATTAACGCATTTATATGCATAATATATTTTCATGCATTTTCAACATTTGAACGTTAGATTGTGTGCAAGAACAATAATTGATATATTCACATTTTAGAATTAATGCATTCTTGGCCGCGTAATATATCTTCGTGTGAGAAATGTACAGAATAATTTTCAGAATTTGTTCTTGTTTATCTTGAGTGATAAGCAGAAAATATTGGTTTTATTTTTGAAAATATGGGTGATATCAGATTATGTTGCAATGTGGCCGTGTTCTTTGACCGTTTTTTTTCCATTTTCCGCTCCACCCTGCGTGCAAGAACAATAATTAATATATTTGCACATCGCACATTCATGCAGTTATATCAGAAACTAAGGAGCCACCTACGAGATTCCCAGGGACTCTATGAATATGTATTTCAGATGGATCTCCTTGTCAATAGATGAAATATATACAATTGTAAATGAACGAAATAAATGTACTTACTGTCAATTTTTTACAATGCGCTTATATATATATTTCTTGAAGTTCCTCTTTTCTGTATTTATTTTATAAACTTATAAATTTATTTTATAAACTTTTATTTTCAAATTCCTTATATTTATTTAACTTATTGTATGAAATGACAATTCTTAATTAACTTAATCTTTTTTTAATTTTATAATATTTTGGTTTTTTTCTTTTTGTTTTATGTAAATGTTTCACAAACTTCTTCTTCTAATTTTTAGCCTTTTTCACACTTTCAAAATTTTTTCTTTCGCAATTGTTCACTTCGTACAACTTCCTTTTGTACTTGTAAAATTGGCTTTGTTTCCACATAAAACCGTTAGCTAGTTTTTTCCTTTGCAAGGCGTATAAAAAAAGTACAATGCACAGAGTTGCTTTCAATAAATTGCAACGCTTCGATTCTGTTGAAGTATGTGAGAAATCGAAGTTAATATTCTTTTAAAACATTGACATTCTCTTCAAAACTCAATATTCCATTATTGTGAGAAATTGAAGTCAAAATTCAATTAATGTGAACAATTTGCATTTTTAACGGTTTCTTTAGCGTGCTGTTCGACATTAGATATTAAGATTGCTTTAAATGCCTGTTGCGCATTTGTCTTATGGTAAAACTAGTGACACTTCTGACGACGGTTGCAAACGTTTGCAAGCTATAGACTAAAACTCGCTTTAATTGCAGAATGTTTTATATAATTTTTCTAATTTAGAATATTTTACTTAATTTTAATTGTAATATAGAAAACAATGAATTTGAAATTTCTCTATGTAATTGCCAAGTCACAGCGCAAACTGCTTTGGCAGTGCGACTGCAATTGAATTGGAATTCCTTCAGTAGATATAAGGTCCTCAAGCTGCACTCGATGGGACAGCGTAGAAGAGTGTAATATACGCTCAAGGAAAGAGAACCCATCTAATAAGACCCTAAGCCAAAATAGCTTTTTATAGAAACAAATTTTAGTTATTAGAAAGGAATGTATAATAGGAGATTGAAAAATTAATAATTTTATGGTATTAGCTCCTATATTTTCATTTTCAATATATCAATTAGAATATTATAAGGACCAGAGAATTAGCTTATTATATTCGGTTAATTTTTTATATAAAATCCTTTTTTTTAATTATTTAAGAGATTTGAAAAAATGAAAGGAGGACAGGTCATATTTAAAAAATTGAAAAGAATACTTGGATTATTATTTATAAGAGTTGTAGGGAAAAAATTTAGCTGAAGTCGTATATAACAAAAAATTATTAAGTTGAATTTTTTTTTTTAATAATATGCTTAATTATTAAAAATTGCGTAAAATGCGTATATAAAAATATTTCAAAAATATGTTTTTAGTTTATTTTAAATTAAAAAAATGTTTGAAACTTGTTTATTTATTTTATTCTTTTGAAAATAATAAAATTCCGTTTCTGAGAGTAAAATCTACTTTGCTATACATATATTACGGATTTCTTTTTTGTTTCCAAAAAAAATTTCGTCAGTTTCCATAAAAAATTACACCAGTTTCCACAGTTTCTGAAATAAACTTATATCTCTTGGAAATCTTAGTGATGACGACTGTTGAAAATAAGACAAGGCTTGGAATAAGCGATTTTTCTAACTTATATGATATTTTAAAATCGCTTTTCTTCACTGTATTTATATGATTGGATGTTTCTCTGTTTTCCATGTCACCTTTCCAACATCTATATTTTAATTTTTAATATAAGAAGAAATTTTGAATTTTCCTCGTTTACCGAATAGTTTGCGTATTCACTTGGCGTCTGCTCAGTTAATATGTTTTTGATCGCCTTTGAAATATTTTCCATACTGGTCAAAGTATTGAAAGATCTTCTTTATAAAACAATATCCGGAAAGGAAAAACCCACATAGTTTTCATTGAAATTTTTAAAAACCCTTTGGATAAGCGAGCCACAGCTTAACCCACATGGTATCAGCGCCAGATAGCTTTCTCTGGATAAGTTAATAATAATAATAATACAAGTTACCCGATAATTATTCAGCATATGAAATTGCAGTGATAAAAAGAGAATATTTTGAGGCAACCATGTTGCCATATTGAAAAAAAGTTTCTGGCAACACTGAAGTGGTGCAACGCAACAGAGTGAAGAATTCAGAACAGAGCAAGAATTCTTATCCATTCGTAGTCAGTGTCGTTTGAGTGGAAGTGTATGCTTATTTGGAAGATATATTTTACAGTGCAAGCTTTTGTTCTCTTTTATATCTATAAATTAAAACGTACATTTATTTTGTGTAGTGCCATTTATTTAAAACGAAGAAAAAATATCGTGGAGATTAAAAGTAAGCTAATGTAAATGGATTAGAATGTGTAGGAATAGTTTTTACATATACACATTTATTGTCACCGTATACGTTTTATTCATATAGAGATGCGCAAGATTTTTGTCAGCGGTATTGAATTCAGGAATAATTGTATACTTACGCTTTCGACTTAAAGTTAAATATAGTTCAGATGCGAATGATACTGTTCAAATATGGCGATATATTAAAACTCGAAACAGTTTAAATATTGTCCTTGTTCCAGTACCTGAATCATTCGTTTCATATATTCAACTCTGATTCATGCCGTGTCTGTCGTGTTGAGTCACACAAGGGAGGGTGCGGATATGTGCGCACGTGTATCTGTGTTTATGTGCGCGTTTGTGTGTAAAAGAGAGCCGGTTGCGAGTAGACAAAGAGTACGGGCTGTGTTAACTACATGCTGCATTCGTTTTTGTGTCGTTGAGTGAAACTGTTGTTTAGCGGTAGAGATAGGATATTTTTGGTACTTTTTCAATAAATTACTTATTCTTTTTTCACTAAACTTGTTAAACCGCAACAGAGAAGAGAAGAAGAGAAATATTTTTATAAAAATTATTTAATAAAATATCAAAAATTTCATTGCCAAATGGGGCACGCACTGCGCAGTATATCAAAATAAATGAATTAAAAGAAATTTTCAAGTATTTTTTTTGTCAATCCTATTTTGGACAAAATTTCGGTCTACGTATGTATTGTAAATTTCATGCGTTTAAAAATAACTAAGAGAGAAATCGTTGTGAAAAGTTTAGTTATCTTTCCGGACGTGTGTTTGATAAAATTCAGCTGAAAGCATAATTTGTTCTTAATACTTTAGATTTTTATTTGTTTCGTTTTAGATAACTTGAAAAAGCATTTCCTGAAATTCAAGTCCCGGCAATTGTATATATATATATCAGCACAGTAACTGCAAACAAATTCGTCTCGTCCCGTATTTTATATCTAAGTTAAAAGCCCTATAACAATATAAAAATGAGCTGGCAAGACTACGTTGATAACCAATTAATGGCCTCCCAATGCGTAACAAAAGCCTGCATCGCTGGACATGACGGTAATATTTGGGCTTCTTCAAAAGGCTTTGAGGTGAGTAAAATTCTGTGTATATTAGGTATACATTTTTTTTTGTGAATTATATATGTTTGAATTCAGAAAGACGGATGGTACACGACGGTAAGAATTTTTTTCTCCTTATAAAGATTTCAAGGGTGTGCCGCAATGACAATTATGTTACAATATATATCAATAATATTTCTGATTTATTCACATGAATAACAAAATTTAATATTGTCAGGCATATGAAGAAAGAAAGAAACAAACAAAGAAACGAGTAAACGCCCTTTTCACCACCACTACGAGTAATAATCTATGCGGACGGTGCAAACACCACCGCCAGATATTTCAATCGTGTTTTCATTTTGTATTTTATTCTCTTTGCTAGCAAATGTTAACAACAACAATAACAATTTACAATGACGACTTTGACGGCAACTACGATTTCGAGAAACTTAGCTTGGTATAAATGAAAGACAGCAAAAACGACCGGTCGGTCCGTGCCTGTTTTTTTTACCAGTTTTCAGCATTTTCTCTTTATCTACATTGCTTTTAATGCATATAAATTTCTTGTGTAAATAAGTTTTTCACTTAATTCGTCACTTCTCTTTTATGCCGGTGACATTGAATGCGTGAGAGTTATCAGGATCTCTATTTTTATCAGTCATAGTTAATAAAGCACAATGGTTGCAAAAAAAATTGTAAGTAAATTTTCTTAATTTCTACTTTCCTTTTTTGTAGTGCTTCTTAATGATAAAAAAAGAATGCAACAAATTTCATCTGTTGTATTAAATTAATAAGACCAGAGCTAACAAATATTGCCGTGACAATTTTCTTGCATCTCAAGATGTGGCGCATAGTAAATATGTTTGTTATAATAAACTCTTTCAATATCGCGATATCTCTCGAACGCACAACCTGCGTATATTTGGTTTTAAACACATTCTAGCGTAAAGAAGACAAGAACCAGTTATTTTTCAAGAACTTAATTTTTTCACTTCTTCACTGAATTAGATGCTTTTGTCAACTTGCTTCTTCACTCAAAAAAATCTCTTTGTAAAATGGTAAAACTATGTTAAAAAATTTATCTTTTTGCCATAAAGATAGAGTGTTTTATTAACAGCCTGTAAAGTAAAGATAGTCGGATATGAAACGAAGTGTTAGGGTCATTAGAAATTAGTTGTCGAAACCAGCATATGGTTTAAAACGCCTCAACATCCAAAAGCATTTGTTTGTAGAGACAGATGTACGTATGCTTTTGTAATTTTATTTTTCTTTTTTTTTAGCATATTTTTAGTAATCCGATAAGAGTAAATTGTCTGTTGATTTTTTATCTTAAACATTTGAATATTTTCTTTATTGCTTTTGGAGCGATTGATTACGTGGTCCACCCAGTCCCCCTCCTTATTACGTGACGTAGGCTTGACTTTTTACTTCTTTTTATTTCCTTTTCACAATTTTTGTATGAACGAGAATATGAGGAATTGCTTATCCAAAAATAAGCATGTTCAACATACGTACTTATATACACACATATATGTAAATGTGTTTATATATATTTATACAAGTATATATATACGGTATTGTATATATATATATATATATATATATGACAATCTAAATATGCATATATATAATCAAAAGCGCAACCGGCATATATCTCATTGTATTTCCTTTCCAAGTTCGTTTCACATTTGCATCAACACTTCCTTCTGTCTTTTTCGCACATAAAATCTTATTAAGCACCACAGATTGAGTGAAATGCGTCGTTTTTTGTACTCTAACTTTGTTATGTTTCTCGCAAAACTGGTTGAGTTTTATCAAAATGGCTGCCAGAGATTATATGAAAATGGAAAGAGAGAGTCATTAGTAAAGAGATTAGAAAGAGACTGCAACTCGTTAATTCAAGGAGGTGACATTGAAAAATTCCATAAACAACTAAATGTACTATCGTATATAAACTTAAGAATTGAAGCAAAAAAAAACACGGTCACTTTTTCTTAGTCTTTCCTTCCCTTTGTACTTTGTACTGATTGTAGAATAGTGTACACTGAGCTGTTTTTCCCGAGGGGTTGATAAGTCAATTGTCTCATCCTAAAAAATTGATGTGGGTTGATGAACAGAGACAAGTTCGTCGGCAGCCGCAAACATGTCTAATAGTCCTTGTATGTCTTGTATTTGTAATCAAATTAGGTACTGCTCGTTATGCTGGCCTTTTTAGATTATACAACGCTAAATGCTGATTTCGATTCAAACAAGGGGTGCATTAATTTCTGTGTGCGTAGAAGTACATTCTACGCGTGAAAAGGGTTCGAGTTTCTAACGAAAAATTTAAAAAATTAATTTTTTTATTTCGGCGCAGGTTCAAATCTAGTACTAAAAAATACTACATACTACGCCCGCGTCACCACATAATTTTTAAAAATTTTTCATAGGTTGATTGTCGCAAGATTTTCAAAAAAAGATCATTATCCACGTATCTTGTGGAAAGCATTTAAGCTGGGATAATTATATACAAATTATTTTTAATAAATAGAATTATGAATTGAACATTAAAAAAAATTTTTAAAACTCTCAAATTTGTTAGGTTACGAAAGAAGAACTTTCAAGATTGATTTCCGGGTTTGATAATCAAGAGCTTCTTACCAGCAACGGTGTTACATTGGCCGGTCAGAGATATATTTATTTATCGGGTACAGATCGTGTTGTGCGTGCTAAATTTGGTCGAAGCGGCGTGCATTGCATGAAAACCACACAAGGTACGTATAATAAATAACTCTAAAAGGTCAATTTTGAGAAGCATAAGTTATCTCTAATTAAAATTTAAGGACTTTCAATTTTATAATTCCTCGTTTTTCTCGATGCATGATGATTAAAGATGATGTTTCTCGGAGGTTTTTTTTTTCTTGTCTGTCACAAATTTTAACGAACGCTTGCCCAGGAATGTATCACATAGCATATCGTTTATACATGACGGTTTCTATAGATAATTTTACGTGCCTTTGTTGGCGATCGGTGGAATCGTAAAAATAGCCGAGCCCAAGTTCAAACATTTGATATATTTTTTATCGCTGCGTACACGACACAAATTTGGTTTTAGAAATTTGATTTTGAGTAAAATCCTGCTATGCTGTAATCCGACATAGATGTATTTCTTATTAGTTTCTTCAAAATATATTACTTTTTTGATTTTTTCGTAATGGATTCATATATCTGATTGTGAGGGAGGATAATGCAGGACCTACTTCAAATATGACTGGTATGCAAGCGAATGTTAGCTTTAGTTTTTTGCTTTAACTTGTGAGACCTAAAGTTGCAGTAAAAAAGGTTTAGACGCTCGCCCGGTGAGGATATGTTCTCACTTTCCTGTGGTAGTTATGAATGAATGTGTTTGATTTGGAAAATCAAACATATTAAAATCGATTATTAATTGAATAGTACATCCTTCCGTTTATTTCTTATTATATTTATTTATTTCTATTTTTTTGACACATGCTTCTAATTTTGTATTTCTTATCTTTTATAGCCGTAATTGTGTCCATTTATGAAGATCCCGTTCAGCCCCAACAGGCCGCTTCTGTTGTAGAAAAACTCGGAGATTATCTAATTACTTGCGGGTACTAGATATTAAAAACAAAAAAAAAATACATATTATACATAAAAGTAATTATAATATTAATAATAATAATAATAAAAAAAAAAACGAAAACAAAAATAATAATAAATATACAACTACAAAAAGGTCAAAAAATTTAAAAAAATTTTGGAAAATTTTCATATAAAAGAAATAAAAACACATTTAAAGTGAAAAAAGAATATTTCTTTCAAACAATTAAGAACTCTCCGACCTACACAGGTTGCATTTAAGCGCTCTTTTTTACATGAAATGTATATTAATTATAGACGACTGTATCTCAATATGTATGAAGAAATCAAAAATTTTGTCACACTCCTGCATCATGGACCATAATCCTCATAATTTGATGTACCCGCTCGCACAAACGCACGGTATGCGACTAGTAGTAATAATAACTGTCATCTTAAAAATCATCGCCATATGTGAAATGAAATGTTGTGGAGCTTCTGCCACGAAATAAGCAATCTGTGTATATCGCATATTTCATTAAGTGAATACCATCAATACATGTATATGTGCTTTAGGATGAAAAGGTGTGCTAACCTTATTATTAATAAAATTTTTCATTTTCCTATATTTCTGTTTTCTGTACGTCAGTCTTGCATTTATTTAAAAAGTGATTGTTTTTGTAATTTGGAAGCATTGAGTTTATACATATTGATTTATGTTTAAATATAATTAATGCTAAGAAATTCTCAAGCCCAAATTTAATTTATAAACACATTTCCCCGCAATATCTCGTACTATAATAAACATAACATATAAATAAATAAATTAACATATACAACGCATTCTGTATGTAACGTTCGTAGTGTAAAACATCATGCTTTTATAGAATTCTATGTATTTATTTTTGCACCAAGGAAGCTTACACATACATTTTCATGCTAATACATATGTATATACATATATGTATTTTAAAAAGGGAAAAGTATTTTATTACCTAAATAAGATAATAAATTAAACTATTCTTTTGATACAAGGAGAGAAAACAATTTAATCGCATAATATCAGTATACCTAAATAAATTAAAAATAAACATTTCATAACTATAATAAATACACCGTAGCCTTTTTAATGCGCATTATTCCTTTTTTTTTTATTTTCAATTTGCTTAATACTTTGAGATCTCGTTGCAGTCATTTTTGCTAATATTGCGATTGAGTACGGCTAATCGCTTTTAAAAGCAATTCTTACCTTACTGTTAAATTCACAATGTAACTTAGAACGCGTCCCGATCCGCACCGTAGCTTTAACAAGTGCTTTCTTCACAAAATTACTGCAGACTCATCAATTCAGTCAAGCAGTTGAGTAAGTCTGTTAATTTGTCAAACTGCATAATTATGTGTAAGTGTTTTTATCGCTATTCCCCCATCACGATGTTTAAAGAAAATCGACCACTTTACATTTTAGAATAAGATAGCTACAGCATGGACAGCATATGCGAAATGAAAAACGGATTTGTATTAAATTTTATTTCAATCTGCTTGACATCATTTTTAGTTACGGCAATACGTGATGACTACAATAATGGAAAACGCGCGTATACGCCTATAGTCCCACGAAGGAAAAGTGAAAAAATTCAAAATGACTACCAACATATGTATGAAGGAATTCCTCTTTATCACATAATTCAACCTATTTCAGAAAGTTTGGGTTCGCCTCGCCTATATAAACATTCATTCCAAAAAGTGTATCCTTTGAACAAATATTCAGATGACTTTCTCCAAGTTTCTAATGCAAGAAATTCTCAAAAGTATGAGCCAAAGCGGTTTTTAAATAACTATGACGAATATAAAAATAAGGAGAATTACCGTTCATTTATAAACAAGGAAGTTTTGGGAGAACCCATTTGGGACTTTTCAAAAGACGAGATTTTACATTTACAACCCACGCGCAAAGCAGGCTTTGAGCACAAGATTGCAAAACGAGTGAAACCAAAACCATCCTTAGATGAAAAAGAAAGTTTCATTTCAAGCAGACCTCTTGTGGGAAAGGTAAACTTTTTTTTTAATAAGTAATTATGAATACAAAAACATAATGAACAAATTAAAATTTTTTCAGCTATTAAAACCAAAAAAGATGCAGTGGCAGAATAACCGAAACGTACTTGCAAGTCCTAATACCGCTGATTATTACGATTATAACAAGCAAAGATATTTCGTAACTGTGCCCAATTACTGTGTTATATACTCTGGTGGAACTCTTTGCAAAATGGAAATCTGCGAAATCAATATTCACTTTATACCTCTTCCATCATTTTATGGCATAAACGTGAAGAAAGGCGATTTACATAATTCCACTGAAGTTAATGAAAAAGCATTACCCCAAGCATCCGCTAAGGCGGATAAAATCGTTAACGTGGAGGAGAAGGAGACTATTTTGACGACAATACCGGATATTGAAGACAGAACTTTCAAAACTATGTTACATGCAGCAAAAGTTCACTCTGGTATGGTAAACGATCGAGTAAACACAATCGCGAATAGGAAATAGGAATTTTTATACATGCGATAGCTGTTCATAAACAAAATATGAAAATTCTTTTGATCGCTCTTAATTGCTTAAATAAGGGTAAATAAAAAAAAAACACACTGGGATATATAACTAAAGTACATTTCCATTACCAAAATTAAATCTTAACTGGCCTTGTTTTATTGAATCATTATGATTTCTTAGTTGTGCTTTTACGTAAATTTTTATGGGTATTGTATAAGCAGGAAGAACATGCATGCATACATTTAGAGAGCAGCGATGATCTGGGATTTCATTCATTATTTTTTTTCATCTAAAGTTTGAATGTAGATGCGTAGAAATATTGAGAAATATTTGAATTAAATTTTTAGATTTTCGATTTTCTAAGTTATGCTTTTCTCTCCGAGGCTTCCCATTTTCCATATAATATTAACAATTATTATTTATTCGGGCTTCCGGAAAATGTATACAGAATTTGGACGTCGCTTATGCGAATTATATTAACTTTAACTCCTCCATTCGAATCAGATCGTAAATCAGTTCAGATTTTGAATGGACTAAGCCAATGGCAACTGTGCTTCATGTATCCAGAAGGAAAACTAACAAATAATCATAAATAATTTTTTTTGCTCCTTGATGAGAAACCTTGAGTATATTATAATAGTCTTGATAAACCATTCGAATTAAAAGTAATCATGAAAGAAGAGAACGAATGTTTGTAAAGTTCACATAGTTAGGCTAATTGATTGAATGCCTGATTCTCTCTTCTTGCGGCCTTTAAGTTACGGGTATTCAGAGGTGGCACCGGTTCTTCAGTAAGCATTTTCCAATAATTTTTACCTCTTCAAAGGTTTCTTATTTTTAAGAAATGATTAATTGGCGATTACTCATATCATCAATCAAGTGTGTGTTAAAAACTAAACCAAATGTTAAACGCAAGTTTGGAGCTTCGATTTGAACTTCTCCTTCAGATACCTAGCAAGCGCTTTCATCCTGTTATGATTTGATTTATTAGTTTTACTATGTTTTAATCATTTTCTTATGAAAAACGTTGATGTACTTTTACATCACCTAAAGATTAAATCGTCTTTGTACTACACCAAACATTATTTTCCCTTAACCTACTTTATTTATTAATGATTTTTTTTTTTTTACGAAAATTGTTTTCAAGCAGTTTTCGCTTAGTGGACAAAAACGTTCGGTAAGCCAGAAATTTTATTTGGATTTATAATTTTTTATGTTAGTGTTGTGAAGCCGTTCAAATCTATTGGTTGAGATTTTGGGTGTAAGTTGAAATTAGAGAGAAGAAAGACAATGAGGATATTGCTTCTTAGGAGTACGTTCCTTACCATCTGTGCACTTTTGATAATTCCGGCTACGCGGACAAAGGCGAACATTGTTCATTTTAATGGGCCGGTTATAGAAGAGAATGATGACAAAGAATCTCGTAGTTCCGACAAGGAATTTCTCAGACCAAGACGTTCTTTCTGGTGGAACCTCTTAAAGAGTCCTTTCGATGAAAAGCATTGTAACAGTTGCTGCAGTAATTGTGTTTATAACCCTCTAATGCAACCTTGGAAACCATTCCATTCGTTTTCGTGTGAGAACAACTGTAAAAATCATATTCAAGAATATGAGCAAGGATCAAATTTGGCATGTAATCATAGAAATAATAATGAGGTATCAAATGCATCGCAAGTTTACGAAAATGAATCTGTTAAAAATTCAAGTCAAAAACCGTCTACAGACATTTTAAATATTGAAAGTACTTCGATGGTGCCTTTGATTGATGGAAGTAAACCGGAGCATCCGCAAATATTATATCAGCCGGTTATATACGTTATGCCGTACGAACGAACATACGTTTCACGTGGGCAAGACCTTCCCTATATAAAGAGATCGAGGGGGAATAATCAAATGCAAACTAATACATATATTATGCTCCAATCACCTACATGCATAGTTCCAAAAGATTCTCTTCTACTAAATAATCGCTCGCCAACGCTATCATTGATGTACGCTGTTGTGAAACCAATATCAAATAAAGCAACTTCATTACATAAAAGGCCATTGAAAGATTTCTGGCCAACTGCCCAAGTAAAAAAAGAAGAACTAATTAAATATGGGGACCTTAGAAAATCTCCAATGTATTTTACAGATCAAAAACCAATTGCAATTGCTCCAACACCAATGCATTACTTCCCTGTTCAACTTTCGTCGAATGACCAACCATATAGAGCATGCCCTGAACTTTTCCTCGAATATAAACGACAAACTAGTAAACTTTTTCATATATAAACTAAAAATAAAGAAATTATAAGACTTCAAATTTATTATCGTTTTTATCTTTGTCTTTGGTTTCAAATCCCAAGTGCGGTAGAGTTTGCCTTGCACCAACGAGATTCCCAGGGAAAGTGTGTGAATCCTAAATGGGTCTCCTTGCCAACACACAAATAAACGAAATAAATGCAGTTACCGTCAATATTCACTTTCGCATAGTTCGTTCTGCAAACTAGCATAGAGTTTTACGTTGGTTCTGCAAATAGCAGAGAATTTAGCTACTGCTTTTTTAACTTGATAATAAAAAAAAAATTATGGCGATCTACTTTTAGGCTAACTTGTAAAATCAAATAAGTTTAGTTCGCGTATTTTCCAAAACACTAAATCTAATATTTTTACATAAAATGTTTAACTCATTCTATATGTAGGCCTAGGTTGCGTGCACGATTCATCGCCACGCCTTGCTAAATATAATCGATTTATTCAATTTATAAACAACGATTAGAAGTATAACGGAAATTTTTATATGGGGTGATCAACATGACAGTTCGGTTTTTCGCTTAAGCAGCGCTTAACTCTCTCTTTATAATTATGTATTAATTATTTTCCTTTTTCCAGCTTTTTCTAGAGATTTAAAACTTGTTAAATAATGGAGGATGACTTCTTTAACGTACCCGACGCTAAAAGAGAGTTAGTGGAATGTCAGAAACGTGGTTTAGTGTACAACGTCAAATGGTGCGGACGTGAATATTGACGATGAGGGTGAAAAAGATAATTTCGGTATTCAAATGCTGGAAGGCATAGCACCGAAAGAATATGATAATTATTTTCTGGCTAAAAGTTAGTTTGATATAAGTAAATAGCTGCGCATTTAGTGCGGAATGCTAGTTCTCCAGTTCCCAGATTCCTTCATCTTTATGCCACTTATATGGCAGTGGAGAAACAACAGTTGGATTCGACCACGGATCAATCGAATCTAAATGACCTGGGTGAGATTTTGATTACTTTGCGGGCAGAGCATTCGCGAAATAAATTAGACGGTTACGGAATGTATTTATACGGTGTTGTGAAAGAAGAGCAAAAGCGACCAAGTCAAGGAAAAAGAATCGGAAACTCGCTGGACCAACTTAACAAAAGCCGTCGGCAAAACAAAAACTTAACATTATCTAACGGACCAACGGACCAAATTAACAAAAGCCGTCGGCATAGTAGAGTTCGATTTCTGTTAAATTTACTGGTTTTGCGCCAAAAAATCTTGATTTTCTGTTAAACTAAAACCAAATCTGTATGGCAACACCGAACAGATATTTATCAAATGTCAAACAGCTGTTGTTCATCAATTAAAAACTATAAAGCACTAAGCTAGTTAAAGAAGAGAGCAGAGCGTACTAAATGAATTGGAAAATCTTAAAGATTATTGTAAAGAACAATTTAAATTTCAAACTCAAATTGGCGAGGGCGGCCGTCACAAACAGCTTTCCAATATTAAGGGGCATGGAAGTTTTATTTTTTCTTTAACTCAATTTTGGTTTTTTTAACCCTAACGATAGCAAATAATTAAAATATTAGTAGTAATAGTTTCCAAGAAAGTTAATTGTATATAAACTGAGTTTGAAAGAAGAAGTTTTTAATGTGAAACACTAAAAATGAGTTTGGAAAAAATCTTGGCTCTAGAGAGAAAAAAATTGAAGGAAGAGTATGCTCGCATAAAAAAGGCCATACGCCAAGAAGAAGATGGTTACGCTTTGGCGAAGGCGGGAAGCACACCTAGTGATTCTGAGGAGCCTGAAAGTTCGGCTGCCGTGCAAAGTACTCGAAATGAAACAATTTCTGGAGATCCCTTCGGACAATCCGTCGATGATCTTCAATTTAAAAATCAGTCTCTCAACTTGAAAGATTTTAACTTGAAGGCACAAAACGAAAAAAATTCTAAGTTAGCAAAATCCAACGCACGTCGGAAATATCAGGTAATATATACATAGATTAATATGTTGATTCTTCCGTCAAATAGATTTATGTTTGAAAAATCGTACTACCGTCTCACTAGAAACAGATTCATATTTCTTCAGCGAAAGATGAAAAGCATACAACATGAAATATCTTTAAGCTGTATTTGTCTGCTTTAGAAAATCCACTATATCCGCATAACAGTTTTGGCGAATTTGGGTATTGGGGCTTATACATCTGCAAATATACTTTTAAATTAATATAAACTGGATATTCATTTTTAATTTTTAAATTATTTTCTTGTTGTATGAATATTGCTAGATAGCTCCTACCTATGTAAAAGCATCAAGAGCATCAAGACTAACTTTTGCTATGAACGTAACGATTAAACTTGCCGCTGATGTATTTCCTTAGGCAGACTCGTGTAAACATCTCCCTAATTCTTTACCAATCTACGGCAGCACTATAATTGGAGCAATAATTTTAAATATATGCCGGGAATTTTATTTAAAAGGTGAAACATATCTATATAATATATGTAAGTGGTCTTTCGAATCGGTCTGCAGAATACTCCTACGTATCTACCTTCTTTCCGTTAGCAGCAAGAATCCATCGTAGCATATTAAGAAGGAGATTCAATGTTTAAGGAAATTTTATGAAAACATGTCTACTAGCAGTGAATACTTGATATATAACATGAAGTCAGGTTTGTATTTTTAAATATGAGTGAGCGAAAAAGATCATTTGACTTTTTAAAATTAATGGTACGCGAAAAGGATGTACAAAGCTCTCACGAAAGAGCTATGGATCGTTTTATTCTTTTACAAGACTTCATCTGTAGCTCGATTTAAAAGAAACCATGTTGACGTTCTATTGATGAGTTTCTATGTGTTATGTATGCAGCGTAACTTGTTGAAAAATTAAGACAATGTAAATTTTATGACGGTTATAAAAATTGAGATGTGAAACCCAAAACATAGGTAGTTCTTGCACAAAGGTTGACATTGAAAGCAGCCCAAAAGCACTTATCAAACCCCACGATTCATGTCGAACCTCTTTCTTTTCAAAAGCAAAAAAATTCTTAGAATAATAAGATTTAGTATTCAATTCGTATAAAAATCATTTATGCCTAGAAATGAAACAAATTGGTCTCGCCCGCTCAATATTATAGATTATCGAAATTTTACGTTTTTTTTATGCTTTAGAGTATTCTTAAGACTAACATGTAGTGAGTGCAATACTCAAATATAATTTGCTTTTTTTAAAGAAATCTTCCTGTCGTTTCAGATGTACACGTACGTTTACGAAAAAATCCATAATACACTTTGTTAATAGTCACGGAATTGTTTATCTACTTGCACTACAGATATTTATAGGTGCGGGCTAATAAGCTCTCTAAATATGGTGTTCTCTGCTTGATTGTAGTGCACATTAATTGTCAAATCAAAAATTTTCACATTATGAGAAATAATTAAACCGTAAATATTTATAAAAGCTTTATTCTTTCAAAAGTTTAGTTTAGTTGCTTTGAAACAGTCTCAAGGAAAGAATACTTGTTCTTCAAAAAAAAAAAAAATGCAATTAGGTAATAAAGTATATTACTCAATTGATTCAAAAGCAATTAGTTGTAATTAATAAAGTATTCGACATTAATTGGACACATATGTTTCTTGTGGATCATTCAATGCTTCCAACAACGCGAGCATTCGAGTGAAACGAGGATTTCTTAGGCGTAGACATATTTCTTACTATGCCGTCTCTTATCAACTATCTTCTTGTAATTGCCCTTGACCCATTTTAAAAATGTTGCTGTGAATTTCAAATAAAGAGTGCCTAAATCAACGTATGTAATAATTCTTTTATTGATGTTACTAACACGCACGATTTGTTATTTACTATGAATAACGGACAAACAATTTCTACAACGTTTGCGGATTAAATGTGTACTGTTACTTGATTTTCCGAAAAATGTATCATAGCTTTCTAATTGTTGTTAAGTTTTTGCTGCATCTTTGAAGCTTTACTGTTTGTGAAAAATCTATAAACGTATTTTGTTTTCTATTTTGTTTCTTCTGTATATTGCTATTGCTGGTCTGCTATCGAACAGGATGATATGGACCAATGGGTCTCAGATACATTTTTCTCATATTTTCCTGGTTTCAATAACGAATATCAGAAGCGTCAGAATTACTTGCAACAACAACAGAATGAAAATCATGAAAAATTAAAGAAATACCAGGTAAATTATTTACATCATATATGTTCTACTTTTAAAACCCTAAAGACAATTTTAATTAGATATTAAACGCTGAGTCTCGTACCGGAGCTAAGTTAAAATTAAGATCGAAAAAAATTCCCAATTCAGACTCGGACTTAAATATATGTTACGATCGCTCAATCGATTCTACTTGTTCTCGAAATGGCGCTAAATTGCAAGGAGCTGGCAAGAGTGAACTAAATCTAATAAATCAAACTGATACCACAAATAATCAAATACGCCCAGGATCAACTCGTTACAAGCTTTTGCAGGATTTACGTCATACGGATTTAGCAAATGTTACTACTAGTATACGTAATCGTCACCAGCAGACTGAGGTGAAGTAGGCATGCAATATACGAATACAAATAGAAACAATTCATTTTAATTAATTTGCTAGTTAATATCAGCGCGGAAGAAGGAATATCAACTCGAATTATTACACCAAATTGAGGAAAAACGACGTAATATACAGTTGCTAAAAGAGAAAGAGCAGCAACAAGAAGAAGCTTTAACAAGGTAAATATATTTTAGTCTTATTGAAAGGAAGCCTTCAAGTATTTTACAAAAATTAAATTTGATAGACGGTTACAAGAACAAATAAACACTATGAAATTGGAAGAGCAGCTAGAAAAAGAACATATTCGTGCTGAAAAGGTAAAAGAAACAAAAATTTATTAAATAATATTACTGATTGTCAGTTTTCTCTATTTTAAGGTACGCTTCGAAGCAGAACAAAATCGCCTTCAAAGACAATATATATTAACAAATATAGAGAAAGATTCAGATTTGCTTCAAAAGCCTGAAGATTTAATTAATTGCGGCAACGAAGCCAATAAAGAGAATTTTGTGTCATCCAACAAAAATAGAGTTTATCAATACTTTAGCAATTCCGCTCATCACCAATACCGTTATAATAAGCTATCGCCCTCAGAATCGATTAACGTCGAATTTGAAATTACCCATCCCGGGACAAGCAAAATTGAACAGCAATGCTCTCATTTAGTGGAAAAAATATGCCCAGTATGCGAAGGGCCATTAAAAACTTACGAAAATTTCTGTCTACGATGTCAAAAGAATTTGTCTTTGCATTTAAACACAATATCCGCGACAGTCTCTAATGAGAAAGGAGATAGTAATGAAGATGCGGATCAAAAATATGCTAGACTAAGCTATTCATTAATATGTGAAAAGTGTGATCGCTTTTATGCATTTTGTCCAAGTTGTTTAAACAAAAGCGATGTTTGTCGTGCTTGTCGCAGTCAAAGAAATATATGCATGAACTGCAGGCGTACTCTATGTTCTTTCTGCTTGGAGGAAGTGGCATGCGGAAAGGATACAGAGCAAACACATATTAATGAATCTGAAGAAGAAAAGGTATTACGCGGTTAAGATGAATGCCAGTTTTCTGAAAGTCATATTTACTTCTTTTTAGACTAAAATAAGAAATGCAGTTAAGCCATCTGAGGCATCCATACTTTGTTTTGAAGAAAATGATAACGGTAATGAAAATGAGTGTCACATTTTGACTTCGCCAAATAATATGAAAAATAACCTAAATATGGGAGAAAAACGTCCTTCATATTCTACAAATATAAAAAAAAATTCTATTTTTCACGACAATTACAATCCTGTCCTCTCTTTAACTAAAAGATCGAATGTCGATAGTCAAAATTCGAATGAAGTCAATTTAAACATTGACGTTTTGCGTCGAGATGTTGACAAAAGATTAACACGCTATGTAAAAAACTACGGCGATCTTGCCCTAAAATCTCGTGGAACGCAGACTACTACTCCGGATGTAAGGCGAGACGGCCGAGACGTTGTTCTAAAGAGTGAACAAAATCTGTCGATTCCACTATTAAGAGAAATGCCAAAAATGACGCGCAATGAGGCAGGAGATCTCTTCCAGAAAAATAACTCAACGCAATTGGAAAATCTAAATAAACGATGGGAGGTATTAACGCGAACGAGTCTAAGTTATCTCGCTACCGTAGTCTCACTGATTTTCATTTCAGATACCCGCCGTTCAAAAAACATCCATATCATCAACGTCACCTAATGTCCTGACGCAAGTAGGAACTATTCGGAAAGAATTGCAAGCGGATCTACTGTTTTTAGATAGGTGCTATTAAGATTTTAATTATTATTTTCCATGTAAGCACACAAAAGAAAAAAAAATGTTTTAATTACAATTCTAGTGAAAGCTGAATTACGAATAAATGTTAGGATTAATGGTTACGATTCCACTACTTTGTATTTTTCATTACATTCGCCTAAATACGAAGTGATGCCTGAACTTAGTAGCCCATAACCGAATCATTTCAAGTTTCATTAAGTTTTAAATATTTTTTTCTGCTTCGGGTTGTCGGATATACTGCTGAGAAAGTATAGTTGATTCAAATTTATCCAAATCAGTTAACTGAGGTACCTGAGGCAATTGTCAGACTTCTCCAAAATGGAGTCGTCAGTTCATTACCAATAAGTAGTTCATTGTTCTAACCATTACCAATGAATGAATTCTGCTTTTAACTGTATCCAAAGCTAAACTATATGTCAAACACAACTATATCAAAATCAACTATTTGGAAAGTGGGGTTACTTGCTAGCAAAGCAAATAAAAACAAAAAATGCGACGTCGCTTATTTCGCTAACTAACCGCAATCAAAAAATTGTAGCCAATAGTTATTTATTTCGCAGAAACTTTGCCGTTCTCCTCATTTCTTCCTTTACAAGTCACATATGGGTAAACTTAAATTGAATTTACTTTCAAATCAAACGACAGATGTATGGACAAATATAGTAAATATAGAACAATTGTAGTAAATTACTCACCATTAGTTTTCTTAGTTGGCAACATTTGGTTTTAGAATGATTTAATTGTCAATGAATAATATTAAGAATGAAAGGTTGTTGTCAACGCCGGTATTTGTGAAATAAAAATTTCCTAACATTCTTATCAATAAAAGCGGAGTTACATTTGCAAACAGTAAGCGGACCTGGTGGGATGGGACAGAAAGTATCTAGGAATGATTTTGAGTGGGTTGGCACTGAAGAGCCGCATGCTTCACGCCGAAAAATCATCTTGGAAAAGTATCCGCAAATTAAAAAACTATTTGGCTATGATCCAAAATTCAAATGGATAGCAGGCTCAATGGTGCTTACTCAAATATTAGCTTTATTGGTTGTAAAAGATTTTTCTTGGAAAATGTTAATCGCTGCTGCGTACTGCTTTGGTGGCATATTAAATCATTCACTTATGCTTGCCGTGCACGAAATTTCACATAACTTAGCCTTTGGACACAGTCGACCGATGCTCAATAGGATATTGGGTTTTATTTGCAATTTGCCAATTGGTTTACCAATGTCAATATCTTTTAGAAAATACCATTTAGAACATCACAGGTGAGTAATCATTTTATGAATTACTTATCTCACTATCTAATTGTGACATTTTTAAATATAAGAGTAAGAAGTTTACAGATATTCCTTATGAGAAAATGTTCTAGCTACGATTAGAGTCATATCGCCGCATACATTAAACTCATGATTAGAGATTATGTTTATTTCAAATTGAATACATGCACGTTGATTTATTTTAAAATATATGCATTTTTTTATGTTTACCAGGAACGGTTTCTAATTTAGTATTATAACCTTTTTTCATTAATATCTTTTTCATATGCGACTAAAAGCAACTATTTTCGTCGATTTTTTTTCAGATATCAAGGAGACGAAGTCGTGGATACGGACATACCAACTTTATTGGAAGCAAAATTGTTTAATTCTACTCTTGGTAAACTTGTGTGGGTTATATTGCAGCCCATATTTTATATTTTTCGCCCTTTAATCATCAATCCGAAGCCTCCGACGCACCTAGAAATAATAAATGTCATTATACAGCTGATTTTTAACATCTTGATTGTCTACTTCATTGGCTGGAAAGCCATGGTGTACTTGGTATTAGGTTCCATTCTGGCTATGGGTCTACATCCCGTCGCCGGCCACTTTATATCAGAGCATTATATGTTTGCTAAAGGCTTCGAGACCTATTCCTACTACGGGCCTCTCAACTGGATAACATTTAATGTGGGCTATCATAATGAACATCACGATTTTCCGGCTATACCGGGCTCTCGGCTACCGGAAGTGAAAAAAATTGCACCCGAGTTTTACGAGTCAATGCCACAACATAGCAGTTGGACGCGAGTACTATACGATTTCATTATGGATCCAGCAGTGGGCCCTTACGCCCGCATTAAACGACATCAAAAAGGACTTGAAACATAAGCATAACATGCAAAGTATTTTAATAACCTAATAATTTCTAAAACGTTATTTCTTAAATTAGCCAATTAAATTTACATACACCTTTGCTTTTTTTTTTTTTTTTGAAATTTCATGAATTGTGTGTACGTATTGTAATTAATGTTATTTATTTAATTTATATGATTGCTTCATTATTTATATCTTGTGTTAAATACACATCTAACATTTCAATTTCGTTTGCGTGACTAAAAAACTATATTGGTATTTCCATAAAGTAAAGCAAAATTCATAACAAGTTCCAAAGTTCATCTCAGTGTCTAAATAAAATAATGTGATAGGTAATGTGTTTTTTTTTTGGAATTTACAATAAGGGATACAACTTTGAATGACATGTTCAGAACGCTTTTGCGCTCTCGTTGTGAAAGTTGGTTTTTTACGACTTGAAACCAATACTTTAAGACTTAAATAAATATGTTTTATCATATCTATGTATTTATTTGTATGAATCGAAATTCCGAATTTCTTCTTTACTTACAGCCTAAAGATTTGAACGTGCTTATTGGTTCATTTCTCACCCGTTAATTAAACTTTTTGTTTTGTTTTCGTTTTAGGGTAAAACAAACCAAAACGATTGTTTTGCTTCCATATGCAAATACCGCAAACAAATTCCTTAGAGCATTGTAAATATTTCGAACGAAGCAATTACTAAATTTGATTTTGTTTTGAAGGATTAGAGAAACCAATGCCAAGAAAGTTACAATTGTCATACAATAACGAGAGGAATTTGAAAATGTTCCAGTATTTTCTTCGTAAAAATATTTTTTGAAGATTTGTTAGCTTTCTATCTTAGCTTGGGCTTGCAATTTATGTATTTGCCTGTGGAGGCATATTCAAACATTCCGTATTTGAAATCGTGCTTTGCACAATGCAGGCGGGATGTCCCTGTGGATTTGTAGGATATCCATACATTGTAAAACACAAGTCCACGGGGTAAAATAGTGCAACGTCCATCGTCCTTTGTGGGGCAGTATTGTCATTGTGGAGGTGGTTGGTAACGCGGACTGTGTACAGGAAATAGACATTTACCGCGTATGTTAAAACTGTAGCCAATCTTAAGACTCGAGCATTTTCTATTCAAAGGTAAAAAGATATCAGATGAGCATTCAATTGGAGTCAAGAATTCTACTTGCGAATTCGTATCTAAACTTCCGAAGACGCTAAATGAGGCAAGCTTACCCTGTAATCTGCACTCAATTTGAAAGTCGAAACTCATTTGACGATTGATCAAGCGTTCAACAATTAATCAAATTTTTGCATATCCTTCCAATTTTTATATATCGCCATCTAATCTACAAAATTGTGATCATCTGCTGAGACATCTTGTATCCATATACCAACGACAAACTAAGGGAGCCAAAACTCATCAGATCGTTTGCAAAACAACTAAACTTATTTAAAAAATGCGTTTTTTAAAGAATTTGAAACAAATTAATTTATACAAAATGAAAAATAAGTGCTTATGATACCGGAACAATCCGCTTGTGCTTGTTGCAGTAAGGAATGTACTGTACTGTATACAGTCTCTCTTTTGCCTACGCTTGGTGTGAATAATTACATTATCTATTGAAGAGATGTGACGCGTATAAATTAAGGTATCTGACGCAGGGGAAATACAGGAGCAGGTGTTGTACACATAAGATGACTGTAGTTTTACTCTAACAGCCACAAATTCCACCTCAATGGCAACATTGGTGATTTTAATTTGCCTGACTTTACGTAGCTTTTTATTGAGGATCTTGGTTATTTTACTTCTTTGTCGGTGCCATTAGCGCTATCCACTACCTTCTTCTAATGAGCTAGTAGTGGTTCCCAGCCGCAAAGCGACCATTACCTCACACCTGGCTTCTACAACGACGCCAGAAATGATTAAGGAGCATGTACAGCGGGATATGGTGGATGTATCTCGTAGCAGTCTCTTTTTCCATGCTATTGATTTGATCTTCCGGTCGACGAGCAATTCTGGTGAAAAAAACGCCTTAGTCAAAGAGCATGTTAATAGAAGGAAGGCAAAGGCTCCTGCTCAACTAGAGCGGGGGTAACGTTCCACTTTGGCGTCAAAAAACTCAAATACCAAAGTTCTTACAGTTTACCAGAATATTTAACACAAAGTTAAAGGGAACTCTGTTAAAATCGACTGGATTTGATTATCATCTTGTAATATTCATGGAAACTTGGCTGAAGCCCGGCAAGAATGATTGCGACATTTTTTCATCGGATTATCAGCAACTTCGATGTAATAGGATTCATAGAGCTGGCGGTGGAGTGTTGTTAGACAATACGACATTGCAATATGACGAAGTATGAAGTTTTTTGCAGCAAACTTTAATGAGGTGAACGTAAAACTAACATACGAGCAAAAACCCACTATAATGGGCTAGAGATAGAGACTATCATTAAACACCCTACATTTCCGTGCAGTTATTTATATAAAGAATTTTTTAAAATAAAGCGCCACAAGGGAAATGCTCGAAAAAGCGGCCTCACATGTCAGTGTAACAAATCTCATCAAATTGCGGCTTGTAGGTTAAACAGAAAAAAAATATGACTGACAAACAGAGAGTCATACTTAAATGGATTCAGAAAGTGATTCTGATTAGATCGGTAAAAGTTGAATCTATTTCAAGTTTTTCTGGATAAAGTTAAAATATCCTTTTACCACAAGTCGTATAGGGTATAAAATTATATTTTATTAAATACTTCAAACAAAATTTTTCGTTTTGGATTTTGAATTTGATTTGTGTAGGCCAATCGAAAATATGGCTTACATGTCCAGATAACAGAATTTTTTGGTTATTAGCAACACATTATATATGCGTATATATATATTTATATTTCAGGTGAAGAAAAAACTGAGGCCCATATGTTAAGCGTACATAGCAGGTTTTAAAGGCGTACATGATGGTGGAGAATTTTAGAGATAGTTTCGAGTGGACGTAAAGGTAAGGAAAGGTAAATAGACGCAATAAGTTAAAAAGGCAAATTGGCTTTTGTAATCAAGCAAATTACTTCCCCAAGACGGACATGGTTTTCTGCTGCAAAGGAATCAAGAAAGCCGTCATATAAACTGAAAGAGCGGACAGAGTTTCTAACGCTAACTAACCTGCGGCCTCTGAAGATGAGACGTAGCAGGAGTAATTGTTAAATATACTTCATCAATAACCGGAAGAAATCAATGCATAAAAAATGATAATGTCTAGTATTAGACGAATATCACTTTGTAATATGACGAAATCCAATTTAAGGTATAAGGTCGCATCTTTTTATAGGTATGCCAATCGGGAGAGATCGAGAGACTAAAAGCATATGGGTAGCATGGGTAACAGATAAAGGATGTCCTCGCGAAAGAATGACGCTTTACTCCCGTTCCACATTTATCGAGGCAGGACGCAAGCAAGAACTGAAAATTTAATTTTAATACCGAATATTTATTAAATTACTTTATTCTCCATCCTCCGTTAACCAAGCTACACAAGTAAGTAACAAAATAAATAAGCATTGCTTCTCAAATGTACGATCCAAGGAACCACGAGCGCGCAACACCAAAACTATTAATGGAATCTAATTTTCTAAATCCAAACTATGTCGTAAATCTTGGTGATTTTTTTACAAACAAGCTACGAATTGACAGAGAAATCTTTTGTGATTCCCAAATACGCGACTCCATTTTCCACTCGTTATCCACTTTCGCGGATAGGAGGATTTTATCGAATCGTATCGTATTCATTGTAACACTGCCTGATTTGTTTATCTTATAGTCGTTTACCAATGAGAGATATGTGAAAACTTCTCCTTCGCAAGCACACATTAAAGAAAGATCTTTCATTCCATTCAGATCGTCCGTAAAGTTAAATTGGCCTAAGTGCTTTCGCTGTTTATAGATCGACTGTTAGTGCATGCCATAAGCCTAGAAATTTGGAGCTCTCGCAAAAACGTATAAAGATTTTTTATGTTTTAACTGCGCCTCTACGTTGGCTCACTGTTGAAACTAAATATTGGAAAAAGCATTGAAAAAAATCAAATTCGTCGAAATGAAATTACTATTATATACATATTTAAGAAGAAGTTATAAGGATGAGAGTGTGAGCACTAACGTCCTTTTATATTATGAATTTTGTGCTACATGATGTCGATAAAAGTAAGTTATTAAAATATAAGTAAAAGTGATCAATAATAACGAAATAGTAGACAGAGTTTTCTTTTAAAAATTTATAAAAGGTGATCACTAATTTAGGAAAATCGAAAATAATTTTAAAAGACAACAAGTAAGAAAACTAAATTCGGTCGAGACGAAATCCAAATACCCTTCACATTTATCCTAAAAAACACAAAAACATGTAAGAAAATTAAATTCGTTCGGGACCGAATCTTTTGTACCCATTACCGCTTATCCCAAAAAAAAAACACAAAAGAAGTAGAAGAACAAAATTCTCATGCTTTATAATACGGAAGAGGCGTAGTTGATTTCTTCTATTTTCAAAAAAAAAAATAATTTATACAGTAGAATCATATGAGCGTCGCAGGCGTGCCCTTTGAAAAGTTTAGGTTAATTCCAAATTCTCCTGCAAATTTGTAGGCGATATCTCCATTTTCGCTAGGGGGGAATATTTACCACAAATAATACAAAGGTACGCAAACAGACAGGTGGACATACGAGCAGGCGGCCATGTTTAGGTGCATTCAAGATTTGAAAATGTCCAAGAGTATGCATACTTTGTAGGGTTTTTGAAGCTTGTTTCCGCCAATACCAACCTGCCTTCAAGAACTTCCAAGAGATTGTTTATAATAGACATTATACAGACGGATAGACGGACATATTTAAATCGATTTAGAATTTGATGCTGACCAAGAATGTACACATACATTTACGGCGCCTTTTCTTGGATCCATGTGTCAGCAAAAATAGCATAACAGGCTTAAAGCCTAACATAAGTAATTTGAAAAGACTTGAAATACTTGAATCATGCTTGTGTCCGATTAAAGTTCTCCAGCTCTTAGATATAGAAATTAAATTTAAAGAGCTGACGACACTGGACCTAGAGTGTTGTAAAAGGGCCGAGAAGCTCTCCGTTTCAACAATTTTAGACATGAGCGTATACTTTCCTGTTCTTGAAACTCTGTTATTTCAAGATTTGAGTTACGGCAGTAGTGTTCAACAACTACGTAGGAGATTTCAACGTCTGATTTTATTAGACTACGACATGTTTTTTAAAATTGAGAGCCTTAGAAAGCAAATAAAACGAAGCAATATGAACAGGAATATATAAAACGTATTTGTCGTATGGTAAAAGAATAAATAATAAAATGCTTTAGAAGCGAATGGTTTTACTTATGCTTACATTCCGGACTTCTAATAAATTGTATGTATACACTTTGTGGGGTCTCCGACGCTTCATTCTGGGCGTTGCAAGCGTTTTAACAAAATAAATATACTTCTCATCCTTCAGCGATAGGTATAAAAAGACAATGTGAGCATATTTTAGATATTTACCTTCGATGGACGGTTTCATATATTTTTAAAGCCAAAAAAGCACAGGCTTTTCTTTAATTAAACTTTTGACACAAAAAGAAATGAGTTGTGCAATTATAAGGCGATGAAATTCTTTTCTTTATTTTGGACTGAGCTGTATTGCAGAATCGTTACATTTGATAGATTCGTTGTGCGAATCCCACTAGAATAATATATTGTTTATCCCGAATTTTACTTACTTCATATAACGTCAAAATTCAAAGTGTCTAGGGAATCTGCCCGTGGCCCTCATACAGCAAACTCAAAAGTGGGAAATGCATTATATATTAACCGTACATATAGGTTTATTCGCTGAATCAATAATACAACAAGCGAATGCTTAGTTTCTTCTTCTTTTAATTGCTTTAAAGTCACCTGTCTTTGTTGGTCGACGGTAGTCTTTTTCGTTATTTAAGACTTCATTTCGCCTTAGGTAACTTGACTTTTTAGTATCATTGCTTTTAATGTTGCTATTAATATTTTAATAACCTGCAGCTCGGTATGTCTTCCGGAAGTAATCGAACCTAATATAAACAGCGGAAAATTTCCATAAATTTATGAATTTGTGGATTTAATCAAAACCGCATTATGCATTCGCTCGCCGTTTGGTTGCATTTGCTGATCTCGTAAACCGAATTTCGCCAAATCCAAAGCAAAGACACCTGATATTAGCCTAGTGAATTTGCAACACCCCGATATTTTGCTTTAAATATTAGCGGGAGCATTTCTATATAAAGCGGTTTTTTCACTTAATGGGCAATAAATGTGTATTGTCCTTTTTGTTTATACCGCTGGATATACAAAAAGCATAAGTTATATTCACTGTTCATGTTTGAAATTATAGATGGCAACGGTGCAAATTGTTTTCAGTCGAATCTTACCGACATTTCAATATTTTTACGATTCGCTATAAAATACTACATTTTTTTTTATTTTTCATTTACTTGTATAGAGAATTACACCAAAATAATTTTTCCGGTTATATATATATATATACATATACATACGTTTATATGTATATACATTTAAATATCCATATATACGTACATATACGAACGTATATACGAACGTATATATACGTGTATATATATATATGCATATATATACATATGTATATGTATATATATATATATACATACATGAATACATACACATATATATATATATATATAGGGGCATATTCACATATACATATGTTTAAATGGTTAAAATAATTTTTTACACAATATAAAGTTTACAGAGTGCGATTCATGATGTTGCTGTCGTGTGATTTTTTCGCACACATTTTACAAACGTCCTTCTTTCGACAATAATCATTAAAAATACAAATAAAGATGCTTCTTTCATACATGATTAAGTGATAGAATTATCAACTAATTAAGCATTTTAATATAAACTAAATATGTTAGAAAATGGTAAGAGATGCTTTGCAGTTTAAATAAAAAATAATTTTAGTAGCTCATAGACAGCAAATTATGTTGATTTCCGTGTTCGTCCAATGCTTGATGGATGCCTTGGAATTTTAAATTCCTTATCTCTGACTGGTAAATGATTATTAATATTTAAAACACTGTGTTTTCTTCTTCTTCTTTTTATAAATCTAATGTATGTGTATGTAAACGTAATAAACTACATATGGTGTGTACTTAAAGAGAAACAAAAATTCTTCTCTAGCGTCGTTTCTAATACGACATATTATTAATATCCGAAATAAGATTGTCGTGAATACAAGGAATAATCGATTTTAAAAAACTTTCGAAAATGTACATAAAAATTTAAAAGCAAAAAAAAAATTCAAACATAACTTTTTAGGTGTAACATAGACATAAACCTAGGAGTACAATTTGTAACAAGCAAAAACGATGAAATTAAATAAAAATGTCTGATGCAAAAGATTTAATAACATCTAATTATATTGATGTTAAATTATCGGGTTATTTGAGTGCGACTTTTTTGTTGAGTGCCGGAAGATGGTGGTGTCTCTTGTTCATCTTCATTAGTAACTACTGTTACACTTGTCATAGCCTTGGAGCAACGAATACAAATGTAATCATCGTCTGGATTTATTTCGCTGCGGTCTAGACCCACGCAAAACATGTGGAACCACTCATTGCAACCACCGTCACACTGCACCCAATCTACCTCTCTGCCAGTAGGCTTATGACAGCTTTCTGCACGGCATTCTTCTTCATCATCCTCCTGTTGCGTTAATTGAGCCCTCTGGGAATTCTTCTTTTGACCAGTAGATGAATTTATGTTCACTCCGCTATTATTGGCAATGCGTTTTCTTTGCTTTTTCGGCGTTGGTCCAATATTATTAACAGTTTGCAATCCGTTCCCGTTCGGTTGTTTGCTCGTGAGATTAATATTTTCCATATTAACGTCAATATGTTTCCCAGTGTCAGATTTTCTCGCAGATTTTTTTGTTGATGATGCGACAGGCAAGGTCGTTGTTATTGGGACAGTTTGTTTGGTAAGCGGCGCAATTTTTTTACGGGGTAATGGACATCCAGTACTTGAATCTAATGGTCGCCTTTTCTTTACTGCGATAATCGATGTACGTCCACTGACGCTCCCGCTATTACTATTACTGTTCGGACTACTTTGTACCAGCAGACTATCATTAGAGTCTTCAGCGGCGGAATTTATGCTTAAATCTGACTGACTTAAATGCTGTTGTTGTTGTTGTTTTCGGAGCAATTGTGTTTGTTCTACAAGAGCGATTGCTTCAGTGTTAGTGGTTGGTTGCATTGTTGAGAGAATGCGCCAAATTTCTTGGGATTCATCAAGTGACACCTCGAGCAGATCGCCTTCCATCATGAGCTCATCTAGATTATTAATTTCACTGTCCGATAACAGTTTATTAGGACGTATGCAGCTATCTGTACTACCATCTGCCTCAGCAGAAGTATTATCGTCTTCTTCATCATTACTGAAATTCTCTTCAACAATGTGCAAGCGGTCTTCATCTTCATCAGAATCTACATTTTCTGATCCTTCGTCTTTTGAGTTGCGTTGGCTGGTACGTCGAAATTTTCGTGTCTCTAAATTAAACCCTATGCTACCGCAGCTCTTTCGTTTTTGTTTAATACGGTGCTGCGACGAAATGATCGCCTCTAATGCCGCAGTTACATCTGGACTGGTCAAAGCCTTCCGAGCTCGATCTTGCCAATTCATAGCTCTCTCCGCAAGACACCGTAAAGCTTCATCTTCCGGCAGACGAATCGGTAATGTTTGTAAAGAAACGAGCAAAGGTAAAATTGTCTCTAGACGTGGTCTCTTAGAACGCACACAAGATGGACATAACCACTTTATTTTTAATGTATTTATAGAGTCACTCTGAACTGAAGGAGGGGATATGCAACCCTCATGAAACCAATCTCGACATAATTGACAATTATACATTATTCCGTGGAAAGAAGATTTGCATAAACAGTAATCATCTCGTGATGGATTCTTTGCCACGTTTTGACTCCTTAAACCACGCATTTCCACTAACTCTTTCTCTTCCGCTACTTTAAACGATTCAACTATTTGTGCAGGGTTCATTTCTTTTACAAAATCATCTTCAAAGGGTTTTTTCAAATCTGAATCAATAATAACGGGTTCAGAACGAGGCATTAACACCTCCAGCAACGTGTAGAATGTTTGCTTTTTAAGAAAAGCACGCTCTGTATTTTCTTTCCATTCATGAGCACTTTTTAAATGCCCTTGCATACGAACTAATTCTTCTAATTTTACCGGAATATTTTTGCCCCGCGCCACAATACCCTCCAAAGTATGACAATAAGGAAAATGATCGTTGGTTTGCAACTGCTCGACGGATTTCAGCCAATCTTTAGCCTTTCGTAAAGCGTCCTTTAACAAACCGTATGAGGGCACTTGTCCTTCAATATCCGTAGCTGTCTTCAGAAATTGATCTATTTCTATCAATTCATTTCTCTGTATTACGCAATTAAAATATCTAACCGCGCGAGTTTCCCACGCCTCAATTGAGGCACCAATCTCTTGCAGTTTTCTTATCTCTTTATCAATTACTGGGTCTGAAGGGGCTATATCGGTAGCATCGACATGTAAAAGATTTTTTATATCATCGTAGCTCAGTTTTGTACTCGCATTTCGTATACTTTGTGAACGCTTGTACCACTTTAACTGTTTTAAACGTATGTTTAGTTGATGTACTTGGTATAATTCAATTCGTAAAGAATTTCCTTCTGTAATAAGTGTTTCTAATTCAGATTCTTCAAGAGCATCCAAAGAGTGCCTCAACATTTGGTTAGCGCGCTCTTCAAATTGCTTGCCTAGTATTAAAAGTTCGCGGACAGAAGTTCCTTCTTCAATAATACAGCATAAATTATCAATTTCCTGTACAAACAGTTCCAGTTCTTCCATTGTAAGCTTGTATTGAGCAGCTTCCAAATTGTTATCAGAGCGTGTCCGGACCTAAAATAAAAGAGTGTTACGTTAGGAATATAGATATATGTATTAATGAATACTTTACTCTTACTTTATTGATACCGAGCTGCTGTATTACTGTAACGCACTTTTCAGCTTCCAGAACGGCAGCGTTTAAACGATCGATAAGAAGGGATGACGGAAATTTCTTCAATTCTGCCTCTTTGCATAACTCTTGTAATTCTTGTAATGTTACCGATGTCGGTGTGTTCGCGTCCACAATATCACGACATCGCGATAACCACTTTTCAAAACTTTGTGCTTTTGTTTTGAGCTTTTGCAACATTAGTGGCATTTCATCAAGCGTATAGCGATATAAAAGTGTGTGTTTTTCCGGAGGACAACCACATAGTACTATGTAATGCCGTAAGCAAACTATAGCTTTTGTGCACTCACAAGAAACAGCAGAAAGGAAACACGTTGTATTACACTCCTGACAATGGCGCTCGTCGTCTGGTATAAGTTCGAATGCTTTTCGTTCTGCGCGTGTAACACCCCATTCTAGTAAAGATTTACGTAATTTCTTTTCTGAATCTACCATCTCAGCCATGTCAATATAACATGCTGTTGCAATGCCGAACGTAAGTTTGGCTGGTTCTAAAGCCATTTTGCAAACAAGTTCATCGTGTGAGAAAACACAGAAACGACGCAACATAGAATAATGGTTTACGCATTCACGTCCCATTTTCAACCAATCAGCTGGAGCAAAGTTTACCGCTTCGGCAAAGTTATAACCCTGATTGAAGCCTGCGTGGTAAGCGCGGGGAAAGGTAATAACGAATTCGCCAGCATTTTGATCCGTTCGGTATACTGGAACACCATTATTCATTAAAATATTGGGGTTCATTATAGTCACCAATTGATGTAACAAATCTGGTTGTGAAGCAAATAGCTCAGGAGCTGCTTGCTTCATGGTCTCCTCAAATTGTTCAGCACAACTTCCAGGAACTCCGTACCAAGTTTTTGGCTCACCCCAATGCAAATAATTGATAGAATAACTCCAGTGATCTTCGTTATGCCAGCAGAATGCTGCGAAACACATGCCGACATACATCCATGGAGCATTCATGCCACTAATGTCAGCGTTTATATGTCCCAAAATAGAATCTTCTAATAAGGGAAGGTTGTTTAAATTCCAACTGGATTCAGCATACTCTTGATCTCCAGGCAAGAGATAAAGAGAACTTTTAGTTGGAAACCCTGAACCGTGATCCATTGTATGTAAATCTGCTCCATATTCCACTGTAACATCTTCATCAATGGAAGACACAATTCGCCAAAATTCACGTTCTACTAAGTCGGTAGGAACTAGGTGAACCGGTTTTCGAAAGTAGTCCATTTTAAATTGATCAGCCATTTGTCCGAACTGTTGCAACGTGTATTCACGTTCAGCTTGTTCGAATCCGAAGGCTTCTGTAGGCTTGCTAACTTCCTCTACAACACAACGCGGGCAAAGCCATTCGCCTAAAATATAAAGTAACAATGATTAGAAGTAAAACGTTTTGAAACGATAAGCAAACCTTTCGGTATACAAGATAATGGTGGCAATAGACAGAATGTATGATATGAATCATCGCAACCATCACATAATAACATTGACTCTTCGACATCGCCACGGTTGCAAATATGGCAAATATATTTCATCAGTGGATCGACCACAGTGGAATCTGAACCTTTCTTCTGCGTTGCATTCGGAATCATGTTTCCATTACTTCGGTTTTCCGTTGTAGTTACAGGAGCGGACGAATTAAATGAATTCATTAAATCGCGCTTAAAGTCTTCCTTTGACTCTGTTTTAATTATTCTGTTTCCGCTTAAACCGCAACTGGCATTGGAGTTAGCAAAACGTTTGGAACGTCGAGCATTATTTTCATTGGGAGGAGCGATTTGTTGACGTGTAGGTATTTCATGAGCTTTATAATCAGTACCGTCTTCTAGCTTTATTTCAGCGTTAGAGGATGCAGTACCAGTCACGGAACCCAACACTTTACCCGATGTGTATACCTCAAAAGGATGTAATATACGTTCATAATGTGCCTTGAGTGTAGCACCAACACTCTTACTAGACGGGTATGACATGCGGTTAGCGACTTTAGCCCATTTACGTTCCCTCGTTGTCTGTTCCATACCACCTTCCTCCTGCACGATGCGGTGTAATGTATATAAGTCGAGGGCTTTGCGTTCAACCATCGGTATTTTAAGTGAAGAACCTTGCAATTCCCAAAACTTTGCGATCTGATCCAGAAAATTTAATTTTACACGAGTTTTGGCTTCCAATTCATTCAGGCGTTGCACGCGAGGAGTGAATTTTAATTTATCTACATCTACGGCAAATGGTGGAGACCAGGACTCTGGTGGCAATATTTTAGCAATACCACATTTCTCTGCTATAGGTCGTATCTTACTAATATATGCGAGAGGACTTTTGAATTCCTCTGAAGTGGGTCGAAAAACTGGACACTCAAGCGGCGTATCAAAATGGAATTCTTCCGTTTTACTCATATCGAAGGAGCTAGAGCTATGGGGTTGAAAATGAATTTTCTCTTTCCGACTTGCTACGGTCGGTTGTGGGCAACTGTTATGATATTTTTTGCTGGCGCTAGGCTTTTCGTCGGAGTTACCACTAATGTTTCCTGTATTCAGACTCGTATCGTAAGTGGAGTTAACTCTTTCCACAACTGAACCATTTTTTTTATGTGCTGATTCATTGCCACTAACGTTACCATTTGTAGATGTTCTAGTTCTTAGACGTCTGACAGGTGTTACTGTACCGTTTGGGGTGGTTGAGGAAGTTGAACCAGCGGGGCTATTAATGGCGCTACTGTTATTGTCAACAGTGGTTTTATTTGACATTATTTGCTCACGGTTTTCTAATAAAATGTTAAATTATCTATTAATATATTTTTCTAAAATTTTTTAGTTAGTTCAAAATCATTTATAATAAATTAATTATCGCGAAAAATTAATGATAATATACTCGTAACACCTCCCCTACTAGAGAAATATTCTATTATTTAAGCTATACGAAAATATTACTTTCAAGCAAAGTCAATTCTTCTTATGTGTACGTAATTAGGTTCTTAGCATAACTTATATAACAAATCTAATTCGTATGTTGAGGTTAGTATTCGAAAATTTGAACTTAAGATAACCTCTACAAGGATTACAAAACAATAAGCTATATTCGCTGCGCACTTCCAAGCTACACTTACGAAAATGGGATTTACTTCCTAGTTTTTACCATATCAAATTTTCTGCCCACCCTATCTACCTTTTGTTGGGTAATTGTTAAAAAAAAATGTAAAACTTGGAAATAAGTATACACTCACTTTTTGACGGTGGATAAAGAATAGCTGTATATTTTAGTTATGTGTCAAAACAGTTAAATGGGCAAGCTAGCTTTCCCTATGTTACGAACACTTTTGCAAATCAAATTTTTGTAAATGTAATGCCTTTTGATACCCACTGTCTAAAATTGATTGTATATTAATTTCGCCATTTTCTTTTTAGCACCCACATGTGCACAAATGTATAAACATACAATATAATAAAAAATTTAACTTAAATAAAAGCCAATAATTTCCTCTATATATTCACCAGTCGCAGACAATGGCTTGGTATTTTGCACAAAATTTACTGGAACCACTAAATGATTACTGTCGTAATCGAACACGCAGCATATTAAAGTTTAGAAATTTCTTTTAAAAGCGAATGAAGCTTCGATTTTTTTTCGGTTTTGCCTTAAGCTGGTCTACGTGCCAACAGATTTTCTAAAGTGTTTTTCAGCTACTTTCAATAATGAAAATGTTCTATTCTACAACTTGTAGAGATCTGCACAATAATATACTAAGAAAGAAAACTTCTCGAATTTATCCATTAGGAGTATTATTTGCTTTACTTGGAAAGCGATCACCATACTTTCACGGCAGTGTAAAATGAGAGTTGCTCCTGCTAGAGCAGATTTTCTTACGTTCAATTACAATATTTTTTTTATTTAATTTCGTTTACTTTCCATCAAATGGAGGAAAATTACCATCAGACAACATCACTTTTTAACTTATCATTTTACTTCAGGTAATTATGCAAACCGTTTTATTTTCTGATAGCCCCACCGGAACAATTAAGCACATAAAAAATAATGAATGGTGCAAAAACTTCATATAATTTAAACTTTTCAATAGGAAATCTCTTTTACATGGTTGGGGATGTGCGCAAGTGCAAACAGAGAGCATTCATTTGACGCTATTGTTTTTTTTCTAATGTAATTTTTAAAAAATAATAATTAAAAAATTGTAAAAACAGTATTAACAACCTTTCGAAACCTAAAAATTTAAATAAATATTTAAATAGAAATGAGAGCTTATATTAAGAGTATACCATAAACGTGCGTAGTTATTGAAAATCATACAAAATGAGAGTAAAAGAAGCCAGAAGCCATATTGCTAAAACGAAAGAAATTTGCCAAACGAATGACGAACAAATTGCAATCGAAATTCACGAAGGCAAAAATTAAAAGAAGGATGCTCTCCGAAGGGCCTGCGGCCTGCCTATTGAATCTATGTTGAACGCAGATTGGTCATTCGAATAATAATTTCAGTAAAATATATTTTTATCCTAGCTTTTTAACACTCCCTAATAGCTAACATTCCTGATAAAAGAAACTATATCAACCATTAAAGCGCTACATACATGAAAAGTTATACCCAATACTTTTCTTAATTACTTTAGATCTGTAAATCGGCTTAATTTAGCGCCACCCATTTTCTTTCTGAGACGATTAATTGTTCGAAGTGAACTTTAATACATATATTTATGTACACGAAATAATGCAAAACTTTTTTATTTTGTGTTTAAAAGATACGGAAGAGTTCACTTTAATTTTGGAAAAAATAAGGATTTGAGTTCTAATATACTAAAATATAGTAATTTTACTTTCTTGAGAAACACACGAATATGAAAACCAAACCAAACTGACCGTCAGAAACATCACGTACATATACATTTATTTTCTCGAATACAACAGCTTTGTCGTCAATGCACGCATTTATACAAATAAGGCACTCTTTATGCACTTTTTATTCGCGAATATTTTTGCCTTTTATAAAGCAGTTAAAAATTTTCACATCAATATGTTGCTGGTAATAGATAATTATTAGATTAAGAAACAATGATTGAATTTTTGCAAAAATTAAATGTATCCACCAGCAAATCAGGTACAGTACGTTTTTGCATAATTACCAAATTCTTTTAATGCACAAACTTAATACAAAGCGTGGATATCTATATTCACATTAGAGATCATCCATTGTTATGAACTATTATTATACCTGATATCAAGTTAATATAACTTTGGTTTTATGTACTCTTTTTCGATTTTTCTTTTTGTTTTTTTTTTTTGAAATTTTCACTTTTTCTGCTAACGACACAGGTAATACATTTTATGCACTTCGCATTATACGTCGCTGTATTGTCTTCATATTCATATGGTAAATCAATAATCTACGAAGTCTTAGCAAGATATTTCTTTTAATAAACGTATTGTTCATTTTTTAGAAACATGTATACATATAATTTCCAAAAATCGTGGGGTTCATCTATATTCCCTAGGAAAACTTTTACGACGTTGTCAGAATTAATGTTTGCAATCATTTGCTATCTGACGTAGCTTTTAAATCACGCATATATCTACACGTTCGTTGTAAACGATTTTTCACCCAATTTTTGCAAAGCCTTAGAGCGATTTTTATTTTCCATTAACGATGCAATTGTACTCTTGAACCAAAATTGTATTATTTTATTCAATATATCGACTCCTTTTACACGAACGCACAGTTCTCACTCTAGTGGCGTAAATATAACGATTAATGAAAATGTGAATATTTTTGCTATCTTGCCGTCGATTACTCTCAAATACAATAAGTACTTTATTGTCTTATGAATTGCAGTAGTTCCAAAATGATTTTTTTTTATTTAAAATGCAGTTTATTTGTATAAGGACATGTCTGAAAAAATAGCTTTTTTTTTCTTTCAACCTAGAATTTATATTACAAAATTATATTTACAAAGAATTTTATATTTGTTCATTATTAAAGAAAATGCGATCTTTTCCAATTCAACTCTATATTCAAATCTTAAGCGATATCAATAAATTCACATATGTTCCCTTTATTTACTGATGAGCTTAATTAAATTTGTTCTCATCCGAGCTTTTCCCCAATTTTGTAAAACATACATGTGCTTAGCGATATATCGCTATATATAGAAATTGGTCATATATTAGTTGAAACCACTTCTAAATGAGTCGTATTTCAACTTTGAATTCTTAGAAAACAGATTCCATGTAGTTGAACGATATTTTTTGACACGGGATGGTAGACTCCTATTGAAGCTGCTATGGTAGAAATTCCAAAGATGATAAAAGTGGGTAACTCTCATATAGCATAAATGAATTTTATCGTATGTACTTTTATTTTATTATCCAGCGTTGTATATTTTTTGCACTCGGTGAAGAAATTTTTTAGGTGGCCTGAGATTTTGAGTTACTTTCTATGGAGAGTAATTAGAACATTTTCTTCTTCTTAACGTTTATATTTTTCTAGCGAAATAACGTAATAAACATTCAGAAATTTATAATTTTTGAACCTGAAGCATTTAATAACTTTCATTAGATGAAACATTAAACAGAAAGCGAGGCAAAAATGATACGGTGTTTATTTGATTCATTGTTTACAAAAAACTAATGAAAAAAGTAAGTTTTATGTTTTTGCAACACGGCATATATATATAAGTACATAAAAAAGCAGTTTGTTAACGAAAAGTTGAACTGAAGACAATGAAATTCATCTGTGCATTTTCGAGCAGATTATAAAAACTTTAAGTACCATTTTTATATTAACTTTATTGGACTTCCCATAAATAATTAACAATATTTAAACCTTTTTATAGTTAATATTAGCCGTGTCGGGACCTTGTAAAACTAAGCACCCAGTAATGTATTAAAATACTTAAAATTTATAAATTGACATTTCATTCCAAGTTGCATGCTTTTAATCTAATCGATTACTTTGGACATGTACTTAGGCATTCAAATTCAACGTATACTGGATTTACTGAGAAAATTTTCGTTTAATTTTTCGCCTTAAATGTAATTTAAAAAAAGGTCAATTTTTTCTGAACTTTCAAAGTAAAAATTAAATTCGTTCTAATCGTTAGCTGCGCGAATAAAACGTTTCTTTCCTAATTTCATAGCTCTGCTTTTGGCCATATGAGTCACTAACATGTAAGATCCGGGCAATAAGAAACCAAGTAAATATATCTTTAGAAACGTGGGCATATCAAATGCGAAATTAAATTGATTAGGCATTTCTACAGAAAACCGCTTTGTTTCTTCAAAATATGGTATGTTCCGCAGTATGATAATGCCTTCGCAAAGAATGCCCATTGGATACAGTGGGATCCAAATAGTGTATCGCATCCAAGTCAAGAAAGCTAGCGGCATCTTGGCAATTGCCGTAAGATAGTATGGATAACTAAAATTGCAAAAGATGTTATTACTTATGTTATAAGTGATGATATATGTGCTTACCGAATTACTTCCACTAGAGACCAGATGATAAAGAGGTAAAATACTACTGGTTTTGTTTGCATACGTTCTTCCCATTCAATCATGAGGAAAAGTACAAAGTTTCGTCCCATTACTTGCGCCAGGGGTATAAGTGGACTTCCCTTAGTATAGCCAAATATTGGGTGGAGAACTTCTAAGAATTGTAGTAATTGCACAAATTTCATGGCATTTCCAACGTATTCATAAGTTTTAGATATGACGTCAGGACCATCACGATAATATAGAATACATATTACGCACAATATATATAGATAACCAATAAACTGCGCGAAATTGTAGAATACCATATAAACAGTTTTTGTACTTTCTGTAAAATGTATATTAAGAAGAAAATTAAATTTGAAAAATATGAGAATATGACACCTTTTATATAGCCAATTTCTTCCTTTTGCAAACGTTCATATTCTCTGTAGTAATCTTGACGAATGTCACGTGGCTTTTCATCCAACCTATCATCTTCGATATGCCATCTATCAAAATCGATTTTTAGCCAATGAGGTTTTTGAGGAGTAGCTACTAGTCGAGGCCACCAACTTTTTTCACTTTTTTTGATAATACATTCAATTTTACTGTCGATAACCCGGAAATAGCTTTCCTTGTAATGAAAATACAAGAACATATACTTAGCTAGCCACATTAATTTTTGCATTGTATTTCTCGTCTCAACAATTAACATAAATTAATCATAAATTTAGTGATGACCTTTGATCTTTTTTTTAACCTAATCTAAACAGTTTAATTTATTTCTTAGAACAGAATTATACTTCAATTGTGAAAAGCAAAATATCTACCCTTAAAATAAAATTAACCAATTTTGTGAAACTTTTAATAAAACCTACTCACCTCACTATTAATTAAAGCATAGAATTCTATGTAAAATTGATACTCGTTCAAGCCTCTTGCTCCATATCCTTTAGCTTTGAAATTCAAAGCGTTAGACGTAAACTCTATATGTAGGCCCTAAGAGAAAACGTATGAATAAATATAAGCATTAAGTGTAAATAGTGCCTTTTCCTTACTTTAGCGTCCTTTAGTTCAATTTTTAAAGTAATTTGTTTTTCCGTTTGGGCCCAATAAACAAATGGACTCAGCTGTTGGAGAATGCTTTTAGAATTTGAGTAGTTTGCCTGCATTATTTCCAATTTTTGTTGTGGTTGATCTTTTAGCGTCATACTTATTTTATTTTTCAAGTCCGGCATTCTTTTACTGAATACTTAAATCATTTTTAAGAGCAAGTTAAGTAAATTAATTCTGCTGAACTGAAATTAATGCTTTTTAATCAGATCGCCTGTTTTACGCACAGCAGTGTTGCCAAAATTTCGTTTATTGTTGCGTAAATATAATAGGAACTCGTTTATGAAATATATTCTTGCATTGCATGGTTAAGGCAGTTTGGGGACTTGATATTATAATAGGGATACGATTTAACATCTTATAAAATTGGCCGTGCATTTTTCAATACAGACTTCTTTGCACATTGTAAGTTTTTTGTACGTTTCTTGAAATAGATTCAATTGCACTAAGTACACGAACATATGGAATATGTGTTAGAAACAAGAGAATTTATAAGATGGTTGCGAACAAAATAACTGCATTTGCTTAATTATGCTACAGAAAGTTTTATTATGCAACAGAATATCAAAACATAAGCTATTTGTATGAGTTTGCTCGTAACTAAACATACACCTTACGTTGCATTGCTGCAGCAATGTATGTAGATGGATTTGCATTGAAATCGTATAGATCTTCCAAAAACTACAAGAATAGTCATTTACGTTTGATAATAATATTACAATATTATATAAATATTATATTGTATTAATTATTGTTAACTTATGCTTGCTTATGCTTGCTTATGCTTGCACATTGCCTCACTGTAGCAATCTGTTTACCGCTTTAAAAGCATATTTTCTCTTCACCTTTTCATAAGTTCGCCTTTCATTTTATTAATCTATTCGTATGGACTTAAACAGTTTTGTTGCCTCAAATAAAAAGTTTTATTTATTCAGTTTTTGTTTTGTTTATATTTGTAGGTAAACAATTATCAGCCCCTTTATTTAAGGTAAGTTATTAAAATTATTAATCGATTCAGCATGTTGCAAAGTTTTGAATATATTTCGGAAATAAAAAATATATACTATGGAATTGCTCTCAAACGTGTTTTTACATAGTTAATCTTTTATCTTCAATATATATAAAATAGCAATTTGTAAAAATTATGCTCAATTCGTCTATAGTTAGAAAGCACATTCATGTTATTTATATGTATTGTAAGCAAATGGAAGAAATTTTAACTTGAAAAGAATTGAAAAAAGTGTATTTTTTCTTATTTATTCATTCCAATTATATGAGGTTCACAACGAGAAATTGTGAATAGAAATTGTGTTTTTATCGTGTTCTTTTAACTTTATTAATTGATTATCTCAAGGCATCCTTGTTCGGTTAAGACCATATGTTTGAAAGAAGAAAAATTGAATATGGTAACCCCGACATTTACTATAGAGATAGTGTAGCGTTAAATGTACCCAAACAGACTGATGTAAATACGTAAAATTGATTATTTGATAAGATGTGAAATATTTTTAGTAAGTCAATAACCTACATACAACCGTTCATAAGCGATGGGCTTTGATGTTCAGACTTACAAAGAAAACTATCCCTTTTAGTTTATTCCTAAATCGTTAAAGAATTGAATAGAATTGAGCAATATGCATTAATCGTTAACCCGTTGGCGTAAATGACGTCTGTAGACGGCCATTGCGTATGCTTGTTGATGCACACGATTTCTGTAGCAGTCCTATCTATACCTTAGTCTTATACAACAAAAATAAAAGAAGTGTGTTTTTGTCAGCACTCACTGGTTTCGAAGTGAGCGTTAACGTGTTAACTATGTTGAAGCGAATGTCATTATCTGACATATGGCAAATGCATCGAAATTTTTGTTTTTCATATTTTCGTTTGTCGTGTTACGAAAGTGTCACCTGTTCATTTTAGGCTAAAGGAATACTTTTATAGTTTATTTATTTTTTTATACTGCAAAAAAATCACAGCATGTCCTCGCAGATATATGTCTAATGTATGTATATGCAATAATAAATTCGATTTAAATTTGTTTCGTAGAACCAGATCGTATAATAGTTCCGCAGTGTAAACGAGTAAGCATAAAGAGAAGAACAAGTTAGTCGTTGCTTGTTGTTCGTGCTTTCTATAGTGTTTCTATGGAATTTTACTAATTTAATTCAAAGTAATGTAGTGTTGTGTAAAATTAAACAGTTTTATCATGTAGCAAAGCGAGGAAAAAAAGAAAAAATTTATTGAAAGTGATTTTGCCTTCAAATTTTTAATAAACGTAAATATATTGGGAAATTTTTTTTTGTAAATGAAATAAAGCTAAATAGAATTTTGAGTGAAAATTGTTTATAATATATACGTGTGCGTATACGTAACATTCCATACGCTGTGCATGAAAATGAGATTATATAGGCAAGAGTGAATGTCGAGGTACACACATTCATAATTTTTCCAAATTTTTTTTTAAATAACACAAGGTGTTTATTCATAATCTTTAACTATTTAACGATGCAACAATAATGTTATGCTTAATTAAAAACAAAGCCATGAACACAATTATATAAGTAGTGATGAACAAATTACAGAACACAATCTTAATAACACTAACAGTTGAGCAGTTAAACTCAGTGGAGTTTTAGAATAACGAATATTCATTGTAATGCAATCAAGGATTAATACACCACAGCTTACATTATTAGGACAAAGATAGGAAATTGATAATGAAAGTGCAATGGATGTTATTTATTGCTCAGGAGATGAACGTGTAGCAAGTTGGTTATTTTATTGGTAATTGTGATGGGTGAATCTCTGCAGCACAATTTGTCCGATTTAATATGAAATATGCATAGAAACTTTAGTGCTCCGGTCGTTTAGCTATCTGTTGTTTATCTTTCACTCAATTGTACATATCAATATATGAACTGAAATTTATTGCCAATTCTTTACGGCGCACGACAATTCAAACTGGCAGCGTATAAAATAGGCACGCACACTACGAAAGATGTATTTGGCTGTGGGAATCACCCTTGGAAATTCATAAGTTATATATATGTTGTGAATTGGTTTGTTTACGAAGTTGTTTTAAATATTGATTCATATGCAAGTTAATAAAGAGGTAGCCAGTTGATTTTCCAATATTTTGAATTTGACATTTTGGCCTATACTCGTGGGCAAATAAAAAACAAACATTTAACCATGCCTGTAAATACAAAAATTTATTAAGAGGATTATAAAAAAAAAAAAACGCAAAAAAAGTACTTTTTATTTTAGAATGATGCTTATATGGCTTTTTTGAATTTTTTGAGTAATTCAAGCAAAATGTTCTTGCAACAAAGATAATCCCAAGACATGAGATTTCTTTGAACGTAAATATGGCATTTTAGTACTTGGAGAAGAAAACCAAATGAAATAAGCCAGAATAATAGACAAAAAATTAAGTGCTTTTTCTTATTATTATTGCGTCAACATTTGTTGCTGTGTCACCAATTGTCTGTTAGCGCTTGACATCTGCGACATACGCTCTCGGCGAACTTCCGACATATTTTTTTTTTTTTAGTATATGTGTATATGTTTGCTTTAACGAGATTCCATAAACTTACAATCGTATTAAGGTCGCGATTTTATTTTTTTGAATACTGTGTTAGTGAATAGTGCTCTATTCAATATGTTAGGTTGTGGAAAAAGAAATCCATTATTTTTATATGAACCACAGGACTTTATTTAACATGCTTCAGATTGGCCGATTTGGGTCAAATATGCACCGTTTTGTTGTATGATTTGTTGCCATTTTAAATGTAACTTCAAAATGCCTCTCTCATAGAAGTCCTGGTTTCTATTTGCAAAAAACTCTAGTAATCGATTTTCACAATCCTCCCTAGATTCGAATTGTTTATCATTAAAGAAATTTTGCAATGCAAGAAAAAGATGATAATCGCTTGGTGCCAAGTCCGGTCTGTATGGCGGATGCATTAAAACTTCCCAACCAAGCTCCCGAAGTTTCTGGCGAGTCACTGTAGATGTGTATGGCCTAGCGTTGTCCTGGTGGAATACGACACCTCTCCTGTTGGCCAATTCTGGCCGTTTCTGGTCAATCGCTATCTTCAAACGGTCCAGTTGTTGACAGTAGAGATCAGAATTTAGTGTTTGGCCATATGGAAGCAACTCATAATAAATAATCCCCTTCCAGTCCCACCAAATGCATAGCAAAACCTTCCTGGCCGTTTGAGGTGCTTCACCGCTCTTTGACCACGATCGTTTTCGCACAGGGTTATCGTATGTGATCCATTTCTCATCTCCAGTCACCATCCGTTTAAGAAATGGGTCTATCTCATTCCGTTTGGCCAAGGCTTCGCAGATGGAAATTCGATCCATCATGTTTTTTTCTGTTAATTGGTGTGGCACCCAAACATCGAGCTTCTTTTTGAATCCAGCTTTGTGTAAATGGTTTAAAACTGTTTTATGGTCGATTTTTAGCTCCTGGGCGATGTTACGACTGCTAATATGCCGGTCAACTTCGATCATTTCTCCGATTTTATCGACATTTTCGACGACCGGTCTACCTGTGCGAGGTGCATCTTTAACATCAAAAATTCCTGAACGGAATCTACGAAACCATAATTGCACATAATTGGCTGTTACAGTATCGGAACCATAAACAATTTTAGCCGCCTGGCTTGCATTTTCGCCTTTGTCAAAGAAAAACTGTAAAATGTACCGAATTTTCTCTTTGTTCACTTCCATTTTTAACACGCTGTAACTCACAACCGAATGCACCAAACAAAAAACAGCAAAAGAATTTTTTTTACTGCGAAATGTCACCTTTCCAACGAGCATAAATATGAAATTGTTTGATCGATAATTTACGAGAAATCTATCAGTGCAGCCATCTACCGAAAAAATAATGGATTTCTTTTTCCCCAAACTAATATTAAGTGTTTGCGTTCATTTTGGTAGTGTGTTCAATTGAAAACGGCAATTATTGAAAAAAATTGGTGCAATACACACATTGATCAAAATATTTTTCATCATTTCCCCCAACATATTCCTATATGCTTAGCAACATGGCGATATCGTGACCGAAGAACTTATATTGATTTGACAACAATCCTATCGTAGACCTATTTTCACATTTCTTTTACTTTGCGGATCTGCGTGCCAGCCAAGTTATATTGCACCGATTTGAGCTACTGGTAATCAGAAGACGTCATGTTTGATGAGTGCGCTGGGGGTGACAGAGCTTCCCATTCGAACTACAACAGTGTACCCCTGAGCAACTCCTGCAACAAATGGCCCAAATTGC